TCCGAATATTCTAAATGTTCTGAATATTTATCTCATATTTGATGGTGGTTATCTAGGAGTTGATAACCAACATAAAACAATCATCCCAAGACAGCTATAATCAGACTTTTTTTTACCTTTGAATTTTCGCGCCATTCGAAATATGACTTTCTTTACTTTCACTTCCGTTGCGGAACACTTCCGTTGCCGTCAGACATTTCCAGCTTATAATTAGGGAATTCAAAACCGGACCCTTTTCTGAAAACCGGTTTTCGGTTTTTCCGGTTTCCCACCCACCAAAACCGGTGAAAAACCGGTTTTTCACCGTTTTTTCAAAATAATATTTTGTGCACTAGACCGGTAGAAAAATTAAGTACCGTAAATACTCTATTTATAGCCGGGACTGAAATCCAAAATTCAGTGTCACAGACCCGGCTATAATTGAAGACCGGCTATAAATAGAGACCCGGCTAAATTCTGTTTTGGTTATAATTTGGATTTCAAATTTTAAATTTTGAAACAATATAAGTTCAACTTACACAATTTGAGTAATGATTTTCCAGTTTTATCAATTAACAAAAGATCCGATAAGTACACCAGTAGATTTGCTAAAGATGAGAGGCTGGGAATACAGAGACGTTATGGGAACCCATAAATAGAGACCCGGCTATAATTAGAGACCGGCTATAATCAGAATAGGGCTATAAATAGTGGTTTTACGGTATGTGGGTATCGTAGGTTTAAAAGCTCTAACCTTAGGAACAATGGCCTAACAGAAAAATTCACGAAAAACATCAAACTAATTAAAAAATTTATCTTCTCTAATTCTTTGAGGAAATAAATATGCTAACTTAAGGGATTATCTGTCAACGTAATATGAAGATGCCTATTAATTGTAAATTTGTAACCGAAGCCTAGTGTTATTCTAAAAATTATAGGAAATCACTATCTACTTCTACATGTAATCCAGAACAAAATATTTACTACATTCGTAGGAAATGAGATAAAACGATTCCACCCATTTGCAAAGTTGTGCAGTTTTGGCGAAAGCCTTCACGACCAACCTTACTGTAACATTTGCACTGGATTTTGACCAGACAAATTTTTATCTATTCATGGACAAGATACGCATTTTCTTAGTGAACAAGTCGGACCGCACATATGTACATATATATGTATGATTTTTCAAAATACGCATTTATACAATTTTCGACCAAAGCTTAAAGCTGTTAAAATGCTATAACTTCAGGTTTTGCACGTGTTTCTACCTATTACTGCCATATATTCTGTCTCAAGCATTCCGCGCGCAAAAAACATCAGTAGCAGTTACGTTAGCCAGTTGTACTATTTTTTATTGAATTCCCCATGCAATTGTCTATCAGAAACCATCTTTCGAAATTTTTTGTGATACAAGGTGCTAAAATGACAGATCGGACAAATCGACGTGTTGCAATTTTTCAGAAACATTTTTGCAAACATAAAAATTCGGCATTTTTCAATAAATCATTAAAAATCGGAACTAATTGCAAGATGGTCGACCATACCATAAAATGATCCACTAACATTGGCAGTGTTGATAACCGAAAACCGAATTGAAGGGAACGGTCAAAAAGGTCACAAAAAATCACGAAGGCGCACAAAACCTGAACTCGGCTGAATTCACGCCGGATCCTAAGAAAAATTTCCCTACAAATGAACGGTCCAAGTAAAACTACGTCCCAGGCCCCTAAACTCGACCTTGGACTTATGTTTTTAAGATGTGAAAAGAAACACTTGCTAACTTCACGCCAAGTAAAAATAGGACCCTTGAAAGCCGGGCACTGATCATGCGGTACGCGCTTGAAAAATGGAAATAAGTATTTTTCAAAGATAAGTAAACTTTCACAATAAAGGTCATATAAAATTAGCAAAAGCACTTTGTCCACACCCCACCAGTCCATATTATTCATAAAATTTTTTAAAATATTAATCGGACCCACCATCCAGATTCTGTGATTTTTTTATTCGGCGTAGATTGGATTTGGTCAAAAAAGTGAATTGTCTTCCTCTGGGGGTGAAATTTCTTGTCAAAAAGTATTTTTTGAAGTTATCGAGCGAATGGAAGAACCACTGGACCACAATCTATTAAAAAATAGCTGCTAAGTATTCGAGCAGGGCTCAGGACCTGCTGATAAGGCCAAAATAGTAAAAATGGGGTAAAATTCCAAAATTTCTTACTCCATTTCGGATCAAGAATAAAATTCACTGTCGCCGAACCTCAACCTTCTGGAATACGATATGTGGTCCAAACTGAAGCTAGATACATGTGCTAAACACCACACAAGTTTGGAATCCGAGAAAAAATCTGTCGCTTAGAAATGAGACTAATATTCCTTGGAATGAGTGCGTACCGCGAGTGAGATGTGGATATCTAGACTTTGGGCTATTGTAGCTTCGAAAGGAGGAAATTTTGAAAAGTGCCCGGTATATTTTGTAGGGAATTTAATAGGCTTTCTCATGATATCGTTCGTTTTTTAAAATTCACTAAACTGAGTCCGCTACATTAATTTGTTTAGTAGTCAAAACTTATGGCAGTAGTAGGTAGGTTAGAACCACGTTCGAGGTTTACTCGAAAATATAATTTATGAAAATATAAATTTGAAGTTCGGAGTATTAATTTATGAATGAAATACGGAATCGCTTAAAAAGTTAAAGGGGTTAAACAGCCGTTATCGCAGTTGGGTCGACCACCTCCCATGCAACATTCCATATCGATCTGATATCAGAACAAGATCATTCTAAGATATTGCCTGATATCAGGAATCGATTGTCATATTGATATCGGAACGACATCAGTGATCATGTCTCCAGCACGTCATTTACATGATTTAAAAACGACATCAGTTTGCGATATCTATATGATATCGTAACGACATCAGACTATGATGTCGTTGACATATCACGAGATATGACATGAATAGGATATGGTCCAAGTTGAAACTGAACCGCAATATTCAATTAGTGCAAGTTGGAGTGTAGCGGCGTGGACATCAAGTTCTGTTAAAAAGGTAATTTTTTAAGTAGAATTTGTTTACAATAAAAATGAGAAAAAGTATAGTAGGTAAAAAGAGATTACAACAACTTGCAAAAAAAGAAACTAACGAAATATCTGTTGGTATAACTTATCAATCAAGTAGTCAGTTACACGAACCAGATCAGTTAATAAATAGTTTGTCCGAGGAGGGAATTGATAATCACGAGGAAAGTTATATTAATTCCACAAGTTCTAGTGACAATTCCATCCAATTTTCAGATTGTGATGATGAAAGTGATTATAAAAATTGTGAAAAAGTGACCTCATCCTCTACTGAAACCCTAGAAAGCATAAAATCTTGGGCCTTTGACTACTCAATTAATCACAGTCAGTTAACTGGACTTCTAAAAATCCTAGGTACCCATGATTGTTTTAAAACCTTTCCGTCAGACAGCAGAACTCTTATCAAGCCCGTGAAGTTTAACGCCCCTACAGAAACAGTTGTCCCTGGAGAATATGTGCATTTTGGATTGAAGACATATACTCAGCAGGTCACAAAGCTACACCCGACATTAAATTCAATCCCCCTTCAAATCAATATTGATGGTCTTCAAGTTTTCAAAAGCTGTTCATTATCATTTTGGCCAATACTGGGATATTTTGGTGGATTAAATTTCAATCCATTTGTGATTGGAGTTTATAGTGGAAATAAGAAACCAGAGAATGTCAACTTATACCTTCAAAAATTAGTTGCGGATGTCAATGCAGAACAAATTACAACAAAAGACAAATTTAAAATACAGTGTTTTGTTTGCGACGCGCCGGCAAAGTCGTTTGTGAAGGCAATTAAAGGGCATAATGGCTACCATGGTTGTGATAAGTGCTGCGCGGTTGGAAGGAGTATAAATCGGCGTATGAGTTTTTTCGAAATTAACAAAGAACTGAGAACTGATTTACAATTTCGCCAACAAAATGACGAAGACCATCATATTGGAACAACGGAATTGACGAAGATAGATGGATTGCACATGATTAATTCATTCCCTATCGACTACATGCACTTAGTCTGTTTAGGGGTAGTCAAAAAACTTTTGAAACTGTGGATAAAGGGTAAACCAAAGCATCAAAAATTGTCAGCTTTCCAGATATCTCAAATTTCAGCAAGATTAAAAGTATTCAAAAAATTTACTTCATCTGAATTTTCCCGTCAACCACGATCATTAGAAGAAGTTGACAAATGGAAGGCAACGGAACTGAGATACTTTTTACTTTATTGTGGCCCTGTGGTATTGAAAAATATTATAACTGACGAAAATTACAATTTATTTTTAAGTTTATCCATTGCGATTAGAATATTGTGTTCTGAAACATTACATATTTCCCTTAACAATTATGCAAAGTCATTACTAATTTACTTTGTCCAAGCCTTCAAAATCCTATATGGAGAAGAACAGGTGTCTTACAACATTCACGGTCTCATTCATTTAGCGGAAGACGTGAAAAATTTTGGTGTGTTGGACAGATTTAGCACATTCAAATTTGAAAATGAACTTGGACAGTTAAGAAAATTAGTTAGGACGCCCAATTTGCCACTGGAGCAACTGAAACAAAGATTATTGGAGAGGGAACTAAAATTGGAGGCGCGAAACATTCAAATAAACGGGCCATCCTCACAGCACAACAATGGACCACATCTAGAAGAATCTATGGGAAATTTTACTCAGTATCACGTATTAATTACACCGAATTATACAATTAACTGTAGGCTTCGCCGCGATACTTTCGTGTTAATACGTGAATGCGCAGTGCTTCGGATTCTTAACATTCTTCAAGACAATGATACCAGTGAGATTTATTTAGTTGGACATAAGTACAGTAAATTGGACTCGTTATTTTCCCAGCCGTGTTCGTCAAAAGTGCTTCAGATTTATAGAGCTGACGAAAATCATTATAAACTCTGTCAAATTCGTGCTTCCGAGGTTGTATATAAATGCCAAGTATTTCCTATCTCTGCGGGAGTTATCGCCGTCTTTCCACTAGTTCACCAGCTTTAAGATGTTCTACATTGTTGAAATGAAGGAGGACGAAAAGAAATGGGTTGCAGTGGTGCCACAATCATATTTCGACAACCAGACGTGTGCATGGCCAAATTCAAAAAATGCAGCAGTAGTCGTAAAATCCGGCCGCCCCCCAAAATCATCCTTTCCCCGATATGCCGCTAGGATTCTTCATGCATATGGTGTGATATTTTATGATTTAGTTAATTGCGTTGGTATTGTTCCTTGTTCTTAGTTATTTTGTTATTATTTCAGCCACATACGAGGAGGCCCGGAAGAAAATTGTGCAAGCCGAGTTGACTTCAGATTTATCTAGTACCGAGGCGGATGATTTACCTCACAAAAGGACTAGAAAACCGCAACGATTCACATCTCCTGGAAGCGATAATGACGTAGAGGACTCAGATGACGACAACGTTTTACACGATTTAAGAGGTCAGAAACGTAAATAAAAGTCTGTTTTATCGCTTCTCTTATCTCCTTAATATTTCATTAATTTTATTTTTCTCAACAGCTTCCGCACATTCGAAAATAACCACTGAGGTCGTCAAAACTCACCTTCCGGAAATGCCTAGTCTTGCACTAGTTGGACATTGTACCGATGATAAAACATCGGATTCATTAGAAAACGCGGACGTCGTACTTGAGAATGCAGATGGTGCTATTCTAGCAAATTCGTCATCATCACAAATTGTGATGACGAATTTGGACGTGGGTAAGTAAAAAATTATACAATGCATTTATCATTTATCTTCTCCCATTTACTTTATCCTTAGTTCCTTTTGTTGTATTAAAATATTATTAATTAAAAATAGGTGAACTAAACATGGATCAGCTCAACTGCGCTTCTGGGTCAAGTAGTCAAAATCCTTCGAACGTTGTTGGAAAACTAAACGTTGAGTGCGCCGAAGGTTCTGAAATTTTACGGCAGAACATGGAGTGGACAGTAGCTGAAGCCTCACAGCCATTATTTGTGACCAATATTCCAAAAGGTAACATTTTTTGGTGGACGTAACACTTTTTATTTCCATAAACATTGTAACTTTTATGATTTTATTAAATTTAGCTGAGTGGAGCAAACTTCTTACGGACGTGGCATTAATTAAACTTAACTTGGATAATATAAATAAGAGGCTCACAAATTTTTGCAAGGAGGATTTAAAATCCAAGGAACCGCCAATAATTGAAAAACCATTTGACAATTTAGCTGAGTTTCTCGCATTTGACGAGTCACTTATGCACAATGAAGGAAGACAACTAAGACTTGTAAGATGGCTTGTTTATATATAAATATGAACTATTTTTTGAGAGAATTATTTAAATATTAATCATGTATTTTTTACAGAAGCGTCACATTTCTCGTGGAGGTAGCTCAAAAGTCCCGGAAGTCGTTGGCGACATCCTAAAGAAGCTATTTACTAACTTTTTAGCTCTTGGGATTAGCTTTAAAGGGTTAAAGCAAAATTACAATTTTTCATCAACAACGTGCTGGACTGTCATGTCAGGTACCGTATGCATAATATTATAGTATATAGTAATTGCAATCAGTATAAATATGTACTGATTGTAAATGTCTCATTCCATAGATTACATAGGTGAAGCCAAACCGGAAATTTCAGAGAAAGAATTGGCTAAAGCTGTAATTTCCTGGTTCCAGCACGCAGGTGACCGACTGAAGGCTGAGCAAACTACTAAAAAATCCAATACTAAATAATTTTTTAGCTTAAAATCATTAATGCGTGTACTGTTTGTAGAATGTTAAGTAAATAAATAAATTTTGAAGAAAATAATACCATGTCAGTGCATGTCATTTTTGTGCCAACGCATGACATCCATCAGACATCAATACGATATCTAAACAATATCAGCGGTTAGACTTAGTCTGACATCGTGGCGATGTCGGAGTGAACATCTTTATGATATCAAAAGTTGGGAAATAGCGATCCAATCTAGACATACACTGATGTAGTTCTGACGCTCACTGATGTCGTGTGGATATGTTCATATCCAAGTTTTTGTATCATTTTGATATCATATTGATATCAGTAAGTTGCATGGGCTGTTAATAATTTATGTAGTTTTTCAAATACATTGCTTTTAATTTTGTTGAGTGTTTTTGCAACTTTTTAAACTGTGTTAATCCAAAGAACTAGCAACATTCTGTTAAAAATTATCAAACGGTTTTTCAAAATAATTCCAAGCCTCAATTTAAGCATGAATGTTATCGATTTTGTTTAAATAATGTCAAATTTCGAAAAAATAATAGCGTTTAAAAATTTAAAATTTTGACGAAAATCCGGTTTTTAGAATTGCCAAAACCGGATTTCGGTTTCACCGAAAACCGGTTTTTCTCCGGTTTTTCCGGTTTTGAAAAACCGGTGTTGAATCCCCTACTTATAATGTAGAGTACAAAAAAAAATAATTCATGATGCCATAAAATCACAATTTCAAAAAATCGTCATAATTTTGCAAAAATTCATTTAACAATGAAAAAACATTACTAAATCTCCAAAAATTTGCACAATTTAAAAAATTCGTCCAGGAGGTCCCTATTTTTCATGGTTTCAAAAATGTGTACTAATTGAAGACAACTGCATGATTCAAAAATGTTAACAATTAAAAAAATGTATCGCAATAACATATAAGAAAACTGAAAAATTTGGCGGATTTTTTTTCAACTTATTTGAAAATTTTAAAAACTAAATATAATAAAAAATGAACAGGAATTTTGGAAAAGGTTGTTATCCACAAATCTATCAGGCCATGACTTTTCACTCCATCAAGGGTGTGATATGAGTATAAGTAGAGCTAATAATTGTTCCTATCCTGTAAAATTACACGGGATTCACTCAGTTATCACGAAATATTTCGTTTCAACCTCAATTTGCACTACATCCTCTATGACAAAGGCTTCATGAATTATCGGCCAAATAAAGTTAATTTGTGCAAAATCCTGGCAGTCAAGGCAAGAGGGTAAGATTTAGCCGAAGAAGAGCTAAATTTAGCTCCGGCTTTATTTAGCCGATCTGGAGCAAGATTTAGCTCCGAGAGCTAAATCTAGCTCCTCAAGCTCAATTTTGCTCTGAAAAAGAGCTAAATTTAGCTGATCCTCGGCTAAATTTAGCTTGGTCAGAGTTTGAAAAGACCGACCGCCTTTATTATGCAGCGACGGTTACTTTCGTCAATTTAGGTGAATTAAGCATATTTCGCTTAACAAATAAGCAATGGCCCAGCTTTGTGTGATCTGGCCCACCGTAGTTACAAAAACTTAAAAGTGAAGGTTATTTTAAATTCATAGTTGTAGATTGAATAATTTAAATTTGGCGGAAGATTTGGAGCAAAATTTACCCTTCGGAGCTAAATTTAGCTCCGGATCGGCTAAATAAAGCCGGAGCTAAATTTAGCTCTTCTTCGGCTAAATCTTACCCTCTTGCCTTGACTGCCTGGTGACACAGTACATACGACTCCTTTCTGAGTTTTGATATTACGCCCTATTTACTACTCGCACCTCATTTATAGAACATATGTATCTTATTCTGCTATAGGAAAAATTCAGATTTTCAGTTGTGACGTGACAAGAGGGGGGGAGGGGTCACGACGAGCGTGACAAAGGCGTGACAACAGGGGTGGGGGGTCCTAAAAAAGGTTTTTTTTGCGTGACATAATTTATGGATCACCCCTATGTAGAATTCGAATTTTCTTGAAATTAATTATTTGTCATTTTTATTTTGTTTAACCAACGTGCTACTTATCGCTTGTTCGAATTTTTCACAATGCAGCACATAAATTATTAGATATTTTGATACCTTATGTAATAATAAATATTGATGCTATGCGCCACGACCATGTACATACATACCATAATGAATTGAATTCACTATTTTTTTTTAATAAAATGAACTTTATTCAATAATTAAACCACAAAGTAAATATTGCATAAAATTAGTAATTATTTGAATATTGTGGGATAAAAAAGATTAAATTAATTCAATTCATGGCTAAACTTGAAATTTCCCAAGTTACAAATTTTTGTATCCAGATATTCTATCGGTGTCTTAAACATCTTAACTTTACCAAAAACTTAATCTTCCAAAGGGTCAGGGTCATCATTGCCCAAATATCTTAAACTTTGACACCGACATTTTGTTTGGCTCCATAAATTTGAATATGTCTCTGGCAGGTTCCTTGCTAAACTGGAAACCAAATTAATACAAGAAAACTGAATTATCACGTTACTCCATATTCCACACGTAATTAAATGGAGTGAACCTACGTAAAGATCCTTAATTTCAACCTCGTCCATTCCATCCATAGCAAAGAGGAGTTGTTTAAACAGGTCCATCTCGACCTCGGTCAAATCGTGTTTCACTTCGATCCCATGGCGTCTTGTTATCTTCAACGTTTTCAACCCTAAAGTTTAAACCCACATGGAAATAAATGCAACAGGTTTACAGTACAGGGTGGTTTAAATGTATCGCTACAGTGGAAAATTTTGCAAAGGGAAAAAGTCCCTAAATCTCCATTAGTTACAACGATTTGAGCCCCAAATCCTTAATTTTAAAATTTTGGGATTAAGATTTTTATTAATTAGTATCAAAACTGAGGGAACACTGATTGATGACAAAATTGTTAAAATTGCAGCATTTCAGTGACAAAATTTTGATAACTAATGGAAATTTACGGACTTTTCGCATTGAAAAATTACCATTGTAGACAGGGCGACTTTTACATAAATCACAATGTGTATTAATTACAAATTTTAAAAGCTACCCTTACCCTTATACAATTCCAAGCCATTCAGCAGAGCCTGAATGATATCCAGAATTTCTTCTGGATACTTGGGCAGCCTCAATTTCAAGTGTTTCAACCCCACCCAACCCCCACACGCTGTAAGAACCACACCCAAATTCATCCCACTCTCCTTCTCGCGGTAGTCCGTCCTGCCAACCGCGACTACCTCCAATCTCACCAAGTTCGGAAACGCCGTCTTCAATCCTTCCAAAAGTGTGGGATCTTGTAACTCATGAATCTTTAAATTCTTCACACTTCCCAACCTCCTGCCCGAGTCGAATATAGTTTGCAAATATTCATGCAAACCTGCCAATTTTGTCGTGCTTGTCATCCCAAATTTGTCATCCCAATCACCAGCGTTGTGAGGGACGGCATTTTGTCGAAGTCTTGCAAAACGTCGTCACACTGAAAAACGTCGATCAGCTGGTTCCGATACGTTTCCAATTTCGGCATCTTTCTCGGTAAGCGGAATCTTTGCCTACCCCAGTTTTCGGAACCGTCGATGGTTTGTATTTGATCGTATCCAAAACATAGGCTGACCAACTGGTCATTAATTGGGCGCAGCATGTCGGACATTTTGAAAAGTAGGAAGCGCGGAATGTTAAATTCTCTAAGGGCATCCAGTGCAATGGTTAAGGAGTTGAGAGATTTAGAATTTTCGAAATTGGGATAGATCCCCCATGGAAGGGTGACGTGCTTCAAATTTGGCGCGGCGTTGAGAACGACTTGAGCAAAACTAGTGAGGGTAATAAACGGCGTCCTGTCTGAGGAATTGAGTTGAAACCAGGACAACGTTCGCTTTGGTGGGAGAGGATCGAACAGCAGTTTTTTGATGTTTTCAAATTGGCACCAAAGTTGTTAGAAATCATAAGATTATTTAGTATATTTAGGCAGACTATGGTAGTCATGAAAATATGAATGATTGGAGGCAGATTCTTTGGTATGTGTGTTGCGTGGTTGAATACGCACTTGCTTTTTAGTATTGGATGTGTGAACATGTTAATTTTTGAGTGTTCAATTAAATAAATAGTTAAAGTCAAAGTTTCCAGTTATCCAGTTCTCTCGTCAATTTAATTTCATCCCTCGACTCCAATCACATTTAGGAGGTGACTTTACAACGGGTAGTTGCATTGAATAGTCCTCACATTTCTGGTGACCTCGACGTGATCCGGAGCCGTGTGGGACCCTGGGACGAGGTGAACAGTATTGGAGCTGGATTATCATCAGTTGGAGAAAACGAATTTGCGGTTTGCTATAGCCTTAAGTATAGCATTCCCAGGTAGTAGCTGTCCAAGTGGAGTCAGCATTAGTCGTTTTCTAATTGTATTTTGTTTTTCTCTTGGATTTTGAGTTCCTGAGGTCACTGTCATGGACCGACTCAGGAGATCGAGAGGCCCGCTGTGCGCTTCCATAACTCGCACCTTGGCGGAGATGGAGGCAGAACTCGCTAAAGAGGAAGCCGATTCAGATGTCCTCGCGACTAAGATGAGGAAATTACGCGAGGTTCTTCAGGACGTGGTGGACAAAGATCAAGAGGTATTGGATAAATTGGTAGATGAAGAAGCAACTGAGCAAGTTTATCAAGAAGAATTTGGTGCCTGTCAAGAATATAAAGATAAAGTCCGCACGATGATCCATAAGGCGGAAAAGTTTTTGGGATCTCAAGCAGATGCTCATAGCAGTGATTCATTTTATGGAACGGCCAGAGAAATCAACAAGAAGCGCACATTCAAACTACCGAAGATTGAATTGAAGACGTTTGGTGGTGAGCTCACGGATTGGTTGTCTTGGTGGTCACAGTTTAGCAAAATCTATGAAGATGAAGACTTGCATGATACAGATAAATTTCAGTATTTAGTTCAGGCCACGCAAGAAGGGTCAAGAGCTCGTGACCTTGTGCAGAGCTACCCGCAGACTGCTGCAAATTACCCGAAGGTGGTGGCGGCCCTCAAAGAGAGATTTGGTAAAGATAAGTTATTAAAACAAGTCTATGTGAGGGAATTACAGAAGATGGTTGCTGCGAGTATGAAGAATCCTGAGAAGAATCAGTTATTCAAAATCTTTGACAAGTTGGAGAGCAATTTGCGTGCTTTAGAGTCTTTGGGAGTGACACCAGATCAGACTGCAACATTTATTTTCCCGATGGTTGAGTCGAGTCTTCCCGAAGAGACACTTATTGCCTGGCAGCGAAGTCCTGATTTTGGTAAAGATGGATCTCTTCTGCAACCACCGAAAACCGAGCTCGATTTTGTCCTGTTTCCTACGGCAGGAGGTTGAGAACGAGCAACAGAGAAGCTTGGCTAGAGAGGGCAACGAGAAGAAGAAGAAGAGGGAAAAAGGAAGAATTACGAAGACGACAACATCCCTACAGCAGCTGGTCTATTTAGTGGACAGGGTCAGTCGTGCCTCTTCTGTGGAAAGTCTCACGCCAGCCAAGATTGTTTCAAGGCAAAGAATATGTCTTTGCAAGAGAAGAAGGATCGGATCAAGATGAAGAAGTGTTGTTTTGTTTGTCTCCGAGGTGGTCACATGGCTAAAAGTTGTAAAAGTTTTGTGAAGTGTCCAATCTGTGAAAACAAGCATCCAGTTATATTGTGTCCGTCCTTGCCATCAAATAAGAAACCAGAGACTGAAGTTGTGGTCCAGAGAACTGATCCAAGTGTGGCGATGGCCATTCACATGTGTTCTGGTGAAGTTTTGCTCCAAACTCTTCTGGTCAGATTAAGAAGTGAGAATGGAAAAGTGTCTCGAGTGGTTCGATTAGTGTTTGATACTGGTGCTCAGCGATCACCAGTATCAAATATTGTCCGAAGCTCGACGGCAAGCCAACTCAAGTACCCATCAGTTGGTCAGGAGTGGGTGCGGAAATCTTTGTTCGGAGGTGCGGTTACGAATGGGAGGATCCATTACAAATACAAATTACGCCTAGAAAGTTTAGACGGATCCGTCAAGCGCATCATGGAAGTTTTAGAGGAACCGGAAATCTGTGGGGAATTATCTCGAGTGCCAAGGGGACCGTGGCTCAAGGAGCTAGCGGGCAAGTCAATCTTCCTCTCAGATTTTACTTCAGAATGCCCGGACATTGAAATTTTAATTGGAAGTGACTACTACGGCAGTGTCATTAAAGGAAAAGTAGTTCAGTTAGCATGTGGGCTAATTGCATGTGAAACTTTGTTTGGGTGGACTTTGTCAGGGTGCATTCCTCGCCAAACGGAGAATTGTGCAATGCTCGTGACATCGTTGCTGGCTAGTGACTGGAATCCATCGGAATTGTGGAATTTGGAATCGCTTGGGATTCAAGACCCGGTGGAGAGCCTGTCAAAGGAAGAAAGGGATTCGGAGGCCAAGCAACATTTCTTGAAAACTGTTACGAGATCTGAGGACGGGAGGTACAGTGTGTCGCTTCCATGGACCAGCGGACAAGATCAGATTCCGAATAACCGATCCATCGCTCAGAAGAGATTAGAAACAATGAGTAGCAGACTCGTGTCATCTGGAAATTTCAAGATTTATGATGACATTATCAAAAGTTGGGAGCAGGAAGGAATTATTGAAGTTGTTCCACAAGCTGAGTTGGAACTACCTGCTCATTATTTACCACATCGGGCAGTCATCAAAGAAGAGAGCAAGACCACACCCGTACGCCCAGTCTTTGATGCATCTTGCAAAGGCAAGAATTCTCCATCGCTGAATGACTGCTTGGAGAAAGGCCCAAATTTAATGGAATAGATTCCATCCATTTTAATGAGATTTAGAGAAGAAAGAATTGGAGTAGTCGCGGACATTAAGAAGGCATTTCTTCAAATTAGTGTGAAGCCGGAGGATCGGAACTTTCTGCGTTTCCTATGGTGGAATGATGAGGGTCGAAATCATGTCGAATTTCGCCACGCACGAGTCGTCTTCGGTGTAAATTGTAGTCTCTTTCTACTCGCCGCTGTAATTGAGAATCATCTTGCTAATGTGAAAAATGAAGATAAAGAAGTAGCAAGAAAGTTTTTGAAGTCCTTGTATGTGGACAACTGTGTGACTTCGGTGACTACTATGAAGGAAGTCGAATTATTCAGATCCCAAGCTACCAGAATTATGGAGGAGGCGAAAATGGAGTTGCGTTTGTGGGAGTGGTCTCAGATAGAAGACCCGAAATCCGGTCATGACGACGGGGAATTCATCACATCCGTATTGGGCCTCAAGTGGGACAGGAGAATGGATTCGCTGGGATTGGACTTCAATTTTGAGTTACCGGAGAAAGTTACGAAAAGAAGTGTCTTGTCATCTTTACACAAGATATACGACCCATTGGGATTTTACTCTCCAGTCCTGCTGAAGCCCAAGTTATTATTGCAAGAGTCGTGGGCAGAGAAAAGTGGATGGGACGACGAGTTAAAATATGAACAGAAGCAGAAATTTACCAGTTGGTGTCGTGACCTGAATTTACTGAAATCAATTTGGATTCCTCGGAATCAAAGTGGAGGTCAAGGTGATTGTGCAACATGGCAATTGCATACTTTTGTGGACGCGAGTAAGACGGCCTACGCTGCAGTTATCTTCCTACGCACGGGAAGGAGAGGTGAAACTACAGATTCTACAGGCCAAGGCTCGAGTGGCTCCGCTTTAGACGATCAACAATTCCTAGATTGGAACTACTTGGATGTACAATAGGTACAAGACTGACTGTGAAAGTGATTCAAGCTTTATCACTTGAAGATATTCCTGTGTTCCGATGGACTGATTCGATGACCGCCTTATCGTGGATTCTTCGACCTAATCAATGGGGTACCTTTGTGGGGAACCGGTCGGCTGAAATCAATAAATTGAGCGAGAAGAGAGAGTGGCGACATGTTCCGGGGAAAGATAACCCTGCAGATTTACCATCCCGTGGCTGCAATGTAAATGAGTACATTGAGAGCAAATGGTGGGAGGGACCCACGTGGTTGCTGCAGCCTAAGGAATTTTGGCCACGAGAAGAAGACGATGTTGACGAAGATGCTGTCAATGCAGAAAAGAAGAAATGTTTCATCGTCACCAGTCTCATTAGTGGAAATGGAGAGAACTCGTGGTACTGTCGACGCTACGATAGTTATGGGGAGAATCTCAGACTTTTTGCATTAGTGACGAGATTCATAAACAATATCAGAAACAAGAAGGATAAGAAGACCGGGCATTTGAGTGCTGAAGAAATCAACCAGGCCGAGTTGAAATTATTCAAGTTAGTTCAGAGTGAAAAGTTTGTGATAGAGAATGGTGTCATCGCTGGATGAAGGGTTGAAGAAGATGATCATGGTTTGTATAGAGTGAAAACCAAACTTCTTCGCCGAGATGACACGCCCTCCTTCAGAATGCAAGTTCTCTTACCAAACTCTCATCCGTTAGTGGACCAGATCATACGGTGGGAGCATCTCCAGAATTGTCACGCAGGTGTGCAAATGCTGATGGGGAAATTACGAGAAAAAATGTGGATTATCCAGGGCAGAAGAGCCATTCGCAAAATTGTCAAAAAGTGTGTGAAATGTCGGCGATTTAGTGCCAAGAGCCCTGCGACGTATCCAGCCCCATTACCAGAAGATAGGATCAAAGACAGCAAGGTTTTTGAAGTCGTTGGTGTGGATTTAGCCGGACCTGTCTTTCTGAGAAATCACACGAAGGCGTGGATTGTGTTGTACACATGTGCAGTGTATAGATGTGTACATTTGGAATTGGTGTCCTCTCTCAGCACCGAAGCTTTTCTGTGGTCGCTGCAGAGATTTGTGGACAGACGAGGAAGACCCGATACCGTGTACAGTGACAACGGTACCAATTTTGTGGGCGCTGTGAATCTCTTCAAAACAATCGACTGGGAGAAAGTGGAGAAAGAAGCCCAAGTGAAACGAATCAATTGGAAATTCAGTCCTCCTACTGGAGCATGGTGGGGAGGATGGTGGGAGCGCCTCATCAGAGTGATGAAGGACCTACTGAAGAGGATGTTAGGAAACGCCCGACTTACGTATGAAGAGATGGCTACACTTTTATGTGATGCGGAAGCTGTCATGAATGCCAGGCCGTTAACCTACATCAGCGAGGACCAAGATGACCTAGTGCCCCGTACGCCATCCATGTTTCTACAGGACATCGTGACTACTGAAACCCCTGAGATGACTTGTCCTGGTGGAGATGAGTTAAGAAAGCGATTGAGGATTCGACAACAATTGAAGATGGAGATACGATCCAGATTTCGCAAGGAGTACCTCAGCCAATTGGTACAGAAAGGAAAGGACCCCAAGTCGCTACCTATCAACGTTGGAGACATCGTGTTGGTGGGAGCAGAAAATAAGAAGCGTCTTAAGTGGCCCATGGCGAAAGTGATTGAATTGTTCCAGGGGAAGGATGGACATGTGCGTGTGGCGAAAGTCAAGACGGCTAATGGAGAATTAATCCGTCCTATACCAAGATTGTTTCCCCTGGAAGTGTCGAGTGTCGTCAAGGACATTCACATCACCGAGAAGATCAAGAAAACGGCTGCGTCAAGAAAAGAAGCTACAAGAGCTGAAGAATTAGCAGTCAAGACTCGATGTGGACGACAAATTAAGAAACCCATGAGATTAGGAATTATGTGAATAGTTATGAGTGTGCATATTTATTTATGAATTTAAGATATTATTATTTGCTATGATTTCATTTTGTTCTTTTGCTCGTTTCTCACAAAAGAGGTGGGAGAAATGTTAGAAATCATAAGATTATTTAGTATATTTAGGCAGACTATGGTAGTCATGAAAATATGAATGATTGGAGGCAGATTCTTTGGTATGTGTGTTGCGTGGTTGAATACGCACTTGCTTTTTAGTATTGGATGTGTGAACATGTTAATTTTTGAGTGTTCAATTAAATAAATAGTTAAAGTCAAAGTTTCCAGTTATCCAGTTCTCTCGTCAATTTAATTTCATCCCTCGACTCCAATCACATTTAGGAGGTGACTTTACAACGGGTAGTTGCATTGAATAGTCCTCACAAAAGTCGTAACTGTTTCAAAATCGGGCAGCAATTAGTTAAGACCTGATGGATATTTTCTAAACAGTTTTCGTCATCGATGGAAAGCTCGAGAATTTGGACGGTGTCGCTAAATTTGTAGCAAAAATGAGTCAGCCTGGAGGCGAAGGTGGACACCGAGAAGGTATCGTCGTCGGGGTCGTCGTCCTCGTCCGTGGCACACATGGCGCTTATCCGTTTCGCAAGTCGGGCGTCTACTGAGAAACATACTGCGAAGAAGGAAAGTGGGTCGAGTTCCTTGTTGAGACATAAACCGAGCCTTGTATTTGGAAGGGAGAGGACGATTTCGTTCCAAAATTGGCAAACTAGTCGGGCAGTTTTCAACGGGGTTCGCTTCAATATTTCCGTCAAGATCTGGAAGTTTGCAAAATGTTTAGTTTAACTATTAGATTAACATAATTTGATTCATTACAAAAATAAATATTTGACTTGTTTACAATCGGATTATTTAGTGCCATTTCATGTGCGGTTCTTTCTTCTGGTTGAGATTCCATTTTTTACGGAGCACCAAGTGTACTGCTTTTCAATGTTCATTCATACAGATTAGTAATTATGAATTCGGACAAAACATCTTTAACTTAATAAATATTGAGTTTCAATTTGAAACTATCAAACATATTTATATTTTGTATTTAAATGTGAATGATTTACGGCTCAATTTTTAATAGAATTTCAACAGCAAATACTTCTGAATTATCTGAATGTCTTACCAGAAATTGAAGTTGGAGAATATTCTGATTTGTGGAATGAATTTATTCTAATTTGTTTTAAATGAAGAGAGCATAAATTTCCACGTTTTGCATTCCTTGCGAGAGCATATGTTTATTTTTTAGTGGTTCTCGGGCCTCAGTTATAACGCAGGACTCGATGACTCATCACCAAAATTATGAAAATAACCATATTTCAAATTCTGCTTTAGGAATTAATTTTAAAATTCTAGACAACTAGTTAATATACACAATTTTTTGTTATCTTGGCATGTCTGCTACATAAATGAGTTGCGATGTGAAATAAGATGTTATCATGAATATTACATATACGCTCAATGTTTTATTTCTGGGAAAAAGACAGTAGGGAACTTTACTGAGAAATTTTACAATTTCGTGAATATTTTTTTCAGGTCCTCATTTTGTGTTCAGATACCCCACAAAACTGTTGGTATCTCGTTGTCCATTGTATTCATCGTTCCATTCTCCACCCGCATAGTAGAAGAAGGTCGGATACCCGCGGATCGGGTGACCCTGAACTTGACACGCTTTCCGCTGTTTCGAGCAATCCACCGAGGCGAAGAAGACCTGGCCGTCCATCTCCTTCGCCGCACCGGCAAATCCTTCCCGAGATTCGATACAGTATCGACACCCTGAACGATAAGATAAGCGTTTAAACGGGTCTAAATGATATTAGGGATATTTGTTACGAAGTAGCATCATCAGCAAAAAAACAAAGTTCGCAAGTTTGCAGAATAATTTGGCCTGGAAAATCAATTAAGAACTTGTATGTCAGTATTTAGTTCGCATTTTTTCGAAATTAGGTTACAATATGAACATGTAAAGTTGTTATGAATACCACCATTGAAATTTTTTGTTATCAATCAATTTTCGAAGAAACAAAGAAGGAATCGGATGAATATTTACTTCGAATTTTAAAAGACTATGCAGACTTCGCTAATTATCTATAATAAGCTGGAAATGTCTGTTGGCAACGGAAGTGAAAGTTATTTTCCGAAACGGAAGTGAAGGTGGAGAAAGTTAAGTTTCGAATGGAAATTTGAGCAACCAACTCAAAATTTGGTCCCGCCCGGCGGGAGACGGGCTTACACGCTAGTTATCTATAAAATAAACTTCATACATAAGTAAGTGTACAAATCCAACAGGCCAATAGTTCGCGTAAATTTTCAAACATGCAATAAATTTTAGAAAGAAATTTCACGAGGATGTGAACTATCTAGAAACTATCAAATTTGGGAACCAAAAAGTTGATAAATTTTGAAAAAATTATCTTGAATAGCCGCAGATATTACATTTCGTAAGTATTAGTCAAATTTAATATATGTAATTTGACTCACGCGGATGATAAAAGAGGACGAAAGTCTTTTGGTCCTTCTTCACATATGCGGCAAAAGTCTTATCGGTGAGCTCTTCTATCTTATCGGCTCCATCGATGCCCTTCCAGAATGCCGCGGTGGATAGGGAACTCGCACCTTTGTTGTCGTTAAGGCCGCACTTTTGCGACGTGGCGATCCCCACGAGGGCAAGAACGATGAGAAACTTCATTTCGAAGTTGAAATAGGGAAAGATTTAGGTTTAGTTAAATTTAATGATAAGTTGCATTTCAATTTATACCTTTTTCCAATAGTGGTTGCTCCGTTCAATTATGGAATTAATTGAATTATATAAGTTGATTAATGTATCGTTTTCCAAGAAATTATAATGACCAGCTTTACCTCGGTTAATATACACTCTCAGAAATCCAGTATTAAAACAATACCAAGTGGTATTCGTATACCGGTATTTATGATACCTATTGATAAGTAATACTGTGTAGAAATAGGTCGGTGTCATATGAATTTTTACCATACTAGAAGCAAATTTGTATTGTCCGGTGTAATTTTTATTCCAAGCGGTAGCAACTTTAATACCGAGAAGTCAATATCTGTCTGACCATACCAGATTTCTAACAGTGCAATGACCACGCTTAAATCGGTTACTAATTATTGGCAAATGTTGCAGAATGGCAGGTGTTATGTTATCAAGATTTATATTTGATACTCAATTGTACCCAGGTTTGCACAGCTTTTAAAGACTTCACGCATATAAATAGATTAATGAGATCGTTATTACCTTAGGGAGTGTCCATAAATCACGTGATCGATCAAAAGGGGGGGAGGGGTCTGAAATTTGTCACCAATTATCACCAAGGGGGGGGGGGGTAATGGTCGGCAGTCACGTGACATGCCACGAAAACTTTTTCTTTTAATTTCTGAGGTCAGTAAATGTGAAGAGAGTAACAATAAAGTCTCTTCGCATACTATCACGCGCCTTAAATAAATTTAATAATATGTATTTACTGAATAGTGAACCTCTTTTATCTAAAATTCGTTATGCGGCGTATTTTTAAATTTTTACTTGACAATCTTGGGTCTGGTTTGAATATATGTACCACTCTTCCAAATTTCAGTAAACATTAATAGAACTCTCATTATTCTTTCAGAAATAAAGTGTATGCAGTTGTCCTTAAGATGTCATGAATGTCAAATTACTTTGTATACTTACTCATTAGTATTAAATAATTCTTTGGATAATTTTAAAATTTAATTTAACTGGATTTAAAAAAAACACAGGAATATTATTATTGGATTAATTTGTGATATGGGTTGTCATGTCGGAAATAGGTCAGATTAGCGAAAAAACTTTTTGCGAAAAAAATCCGCCACAAAAAATCACACTTGGCGAAAAATAGGTTTCATGCGTTTTACAGTAAGTTAGGTTTAATGTGTAACCTGTCACGTGACCACGGGGGGGGGGGGTAATGGATTTATCACCATTGGTCACCAAGGGGGGGGAGGGGGTCAAAATTGTCCAAAAATCGATCACGTGATTTATGGACGCTCCCTTAATGGGGAGTTTTATTACTAATAAATTATTTTGATTATTACACGTTAATTGGGACATTAACATTGAATTTTGCGTGTGCTGAACATCTGCACCCGATGCCGTTCGGATGACAAGGCGTTGCTAAATATGTTAAATTATTTATGCATTTGTTGTAATAATCAGTTTTTTAAATTTTGTCATTTTGTACATTTGCATGCACCACTTGGGTTTGTTTTTTACAAAAATTTGAACATATTCCAATTTTCATGTGATGAGATTAAAATAATTTTAAAATATTATTAATGTATTTAGCTGTACTTGTTATAATCCTAATCCTACAATGGTAACCAAGGCGGTTAAGTCATATAGACTTAATATTGACACCGACGGTGTTGATTTGACAAATTTTTGTTTTGTGTGTAGTAACACCTATTTACAATTACATTTTTAATTAATTAGTTTGACCATTCTAAAATATCCAGGAGGATAATAATGCTAAGCAATTTCTTGCCGTGGTGCATGATTGTAAAGTAATTATTGTAACTTTATTTCACAGTATATTACACAGTAAATTACTTATTTAAGTATGTGTGGCACTAAATTTTAAAAATAATTTTACCTTCTTGAAAGGTAAATGCAGTCTTAATTCTATATTAGGGAACATCCATATGTTACGTGTAAAAAACGCCGATGGTTAGACCAGCCATGCACCTCTTGCCTTAAGGGAGACGACCAGAACCCATCTACCACATTTTTTATGACGAAATATATGGACCTTCCCTTGCATCATTATAAAATACCGTAAATACTCTATTTATAGCCGGGGCTAAAATCCAAAACTGGGGGTCGCGGACCCGGCTACAATTAGAGACCGGCTATAATTAGAGACCCGGCTAAATTTTGTTCCGCCCAAAATTTTTGATGTTAAAAAATTACGTATAATTCATGTTGACTCAATTTGAGTTTTCTAATTTAGAGAGATATGCCATCAGTAACCCATTCACCTTATATATACATCTTTAAACGAGGTTTAGCAGTTTTTTTAAATTTTCTGTCATGATTATATCCACTACTAACTTGAAACTAGCAGGTAAAAATTAGTAGTTCAACTTATTCGTTGATAAGCATAATGTGCAACATTTTTCTTGAATGGGCTATGAACGTGGACACAGCGGACAAGACAAGCCAAAATTAGTGACCCGGCCATAATTGGGGACCCGGCTATAATTAGGGACCCGGCTAAAATTTTGAAATCTTGGTCTCTAGACCCGGCTATATTTGGAGACCGGCTATAATTAGAATAGGGCTATAAATAGAGGTTTTACGGTATCTTAAATAAATACATAAAATGATCATTTATGCCTCTTCCGCTCAATCAAGGCAATTACAACGATGGAGAACACACCCCATCCAAGCGCGCTCAGAAATCCTCTCACCACGTGGAAATTGTCCAGGCCCCACCCGCGCGAATTAATCGAGCGGAGCGCCTCCGCCGGAAACGTGGTGGGGAGTAAGTTACAGAAAAATTGGCGATAAAACCATGGCGCCCAGTCGAGTGGGATCAGGCTTCCTGAATTCAAATTAAATATTTAATTTATTACATTTTCAAACAAAAATTTGGATTAAAAAAAAGAACCAACCTGACGAGTATGCCTGAATTATATTGATGAAAATCACGATGATAATGACTTCTAGCTCCCTGCTTCGCACCGAAGAAACCATGCACCCTGACATAAAAAAATCAGAATTTAGATATTATGGCGAGGAAAGTGCAGTAGGAAACTACACTCTTAAAATATAATGCTACCTTTTTAACTCTGTATAATGTAATGCACTCTAAATAAATTATATACCAAGCAATTCAGAGCAACTTTAAATTTATAAAGAGTAAAGTTTACTCTGGACTTAGCATAGTTTACTTAATTTAGAATTCACACTGCAGCTAGGTAAGGTCCATAAATTGTGTCACGTGAGAGGGGGAAGGGGGGGGGTCCAAAGCTCAAATGATATTGTACCTTTGTAACACATGTTAAAGGGGGGAGGGGGTCTAGAAAATCGCGATTTTTGCGTGACATAATTTATGGATCTCCCCTTACTATTCAGAAGGGTAACATAATTTTAAGTTATTTCTACAAATTTTTTCTACAAGCATGCATAATTTCTTGCATGATTTCAACAAATGCAAGAAATATGCAAGGGCCATCTATTGGACAATCTGTACAATTAATTTGGAGTAGTCAATACAAATCGTGAACCGCTAAGTGGCGCCTATTTCTTGCATTTTCGCTATAAAATCCAACACTCTTTAGGGGTCATACATAAATTATAAATACATAAATTAAGAACTGAGTGGGGAGGGAGGGGGTCAAAGGCTGCAATGATAACGTGAGGGAGGGAGGGGGTCCAGAAAATCGGTATTTTTACGTTCCATAATTTATCTACGGCCCCTGAAAGAATATTTTTCGAAATTTAACCTAGCTATTTTCAAACCTATATAAACTCCGGCCATGGACGAAATGAAAATCAGGCTGAGCGCCGTTATCCATGACCCTTTAACTTGCATGTCGAACATGAAGAACAACATGACGACAATAATGCTAATCTGGATTACGGTTTTTACTGAATCCGTCACCATGCTGGCGACAATGCGGTGTTGGAGGGACGCTCCGGCCGCGTAGTCGCGATCCTCGAGGCCCTCCGCTCTGTCACAACTCCACAGGAACCCGGTCGTTTGAGCCATTATGAACATGGCGCTGGAAAAGTAGAATAAAATCGGTGTGTTAAATCTTAACTTTTTAGAATTGAGTGTAAATCTTCGCATATTAACTTGCAAAGTTTTGCAAAATTTGTGAGATTTCGCAAAGCTTTCATTGTAAAACGATAACATTTTTTTCGCAAATTTATCTAGTAAATGTGCATAGTACAGGGTGGTTTAAAAGTCAGGTTACAGTGGAAAATTTTTCAATGGGAAAAACTCGTAAATTTCCATTAGTTACGGAGTTGGGATTAAGATTTTTATTAATTTTTATCAAAACTCTTGGAACACTGATGACAAAATTCTTAAAATATTGAATTTCAGAGGCAAAATTTCGGTAACTAATGGAGATTTATGAATTTTTCCCATTGAAAAATTTTCCATTGTAACCTGACATTTAAACCACACTGTTGACCGTATTTCGCACGATTATTTCGCAACTTAATCCTCACCATGACAAGCTAGGGAAGCTACAGAAATCAACGGAAACAACATCGAAATATGTGTTTTTAAAAGTTGATTTCCGAAGTAATTTTTGGCCAATTCGATCACAACAGATTTTTTTAAATTCGCAAGTTTGCTGAAAGAGTTGCGATGAGAAATATCTATGACGTTGTCGCGCATACGCTCATTATTTTTAAATTTTTAGCACTTATTTTTTTACGTACATCATTATAACTCCGGGTTGTGAAAATGCTATGAAACTGTGAACCCCAAGGCCTCCATAGACTGCGTTGTACTGTACAATTTAATTTTGATTTTTAGGTTCTTGATTAAAAATACTTTTAGAAAAATATTAATTTTTGAAATAAAAAATTTACTTGAAGCGGGGGTCGAACTGTGGCAGGGTTTAAGGAGCAGGCAGTAGCAATTCTGGTAATAAAGTCGATATATTTGGATACGACGTTGTGCTTTATCCAAAATGAAAAGATTGAGTCTGGAAAATAAATTACATATTTAATGGCAAAACTTATTCAATTTCGAAATAAATTAAATCAAGTTTCAACATTTTTTTTATCCGCATCTTTGCAAAAATAAAGATGCGTGCCAAAAAATTACTTGTTTCGTCCAACGCGACCGAAATCATGGCGCCGTCGATGGTCTCGTTATCTGCAAAATTTTTATGTACGATTCGATCTTTCATGTATTGCTCAAAATTCTTTGGGAAAGATAGCAGGGCGATAGCCTTTCCGGCCTGGATGCTCTCATAGCCGTCCTGATAAGAGTTCGTGACAGCCTAAAAAAATTCAAATTGAAATTTTCAAAACTTTTCGTAATCACAAATTGTGTGAAATTCTTAACTACGGTGGACATTATTTGGCTGGTCAGCTCGTTTGCATATTTTGACGCATATCACGAAAATACCTTAGGGCGAAAATGGGCATACTTTCAAGCGAGTTATGTCAAAAAATCGAACCAAAAATGGGGAATCACGTGACACTTATCTTTCCGTTGAATGGCCCCTTCGAATATAAATATTGTTCATACGCCCGCCCTGGCTTTCTCCACGTGGAAAAAAAGGGAGAGAGAATTGATTAAAAAATTAAACTTTGCCGTCAATAAGTTTCTTCAAAGGGGGCATTCAACGGAAAGAAGAGTGTCATGCGACTGCAAATTTTGGCTTGATTTTTTGACATAACTCGCTAGAAAATCTGGATGTAGCTTGAGAAAAGGTTCCGTTGTTTGTGAGATTTATGCAAATAAAGTGACCCATAACAATCATTCCACACTTATGTACCCAGTCGAATTCCCCGTTTCCAAAGGTTTCCAAGAAATTACAAATCCCCACGTTTTCCAGACATTGGGAAGAATTCATCTTTTGAGCGCAATATCTAAAAAGTTGTGACTTATTGGATAAATTGATATCATTGGTGACCAAGGAGACCGGCATGGTTACAGGGACGCGACCAAAAATATTTTGAAATACGATAAGGATCAAGAGCGGGAGGCAAAGTTCGCCAGAAATTAATCTGAAATTGAAAACAAACCAATTACAGTGTGTAACCTTAAGTTTCTTCATTACCATATTTTTATAACCACGTTTTATTATTATTTAGAAATCTAGCATAGTCAGGCAGGTATTGATTTCTCTGAATTAAAGTTGCTACCGCTTGGTATTAAAATAACACCGATGAGAAAAAATACTACCAATATGGTAAAATTTTAATACCGAGCTATTACTTCATACACCGTATTACTTATAAATACCATTTTGGTATAGTCATAAATTAATAACGCTTGGTATTATTTTAATACCGGATTTTTAAGAGTGTTTTTGTAGCCTCACCTCCAATCGCGTTTCCGCCTCCGCCACGCCTTCATAACGAGCGCGTGGATGATAGAGCCATGGTTCGTCTCAACGTTCATGGGCGATAAGACGACGTTATCTTGCAGGGTGATGGACAATCGGCGGAACGACTTGGCCTTCACGACCCCTTCGTCTGGGAAGATCCACTCGGGTAGTTTGCTCGAATTTCGGGTAATATCGGGTTGCGGCGTGCTCAAAAACGGGACGTCTTTCTCATCCAGGCGACACAGTTGGAGGGCAACTTCTTCCAGGGAAGGGCAGTTGTAGAGGGTGAGCAGGGTGGAGGGCGCGTCCTCGGCGAGAAGTTGGCCGCCACGCATGAAACCGACCTGGGGGTAAAGTGAGATTGTTTTAGGGTTAACGGATTGAATGTATGTCATTTTTGTGCTGGTTTTAAGCAAATATTTCCTTCTTAAGGTTATATATAGTGTGTATTACTGAAATTATTGTTTCACAATGACTCATTTAATTCGAATTTGAAAAGATTTTTTACTTGTAATTTTTTTTTCTAAAAAATTACTAAAAACGGAAGAACATTTTTTTCTTAATTGTAGCATGCAATTTTATGAAATTTCCAATAACTCATCGATTAAATTTATCAACTTTTAAAATCCATGACGAATTAGATGCATATCCAAATATTGTTAACTTAAGGTGCTCACCTTATCACATCGATTACACTCTTCGATGTAATGCGTTGAAATGACAATCGTGGTGCCTCGCGTTCTTGAAATTTCGACAAGATGCTCCCAAATCCTATCAGAAAGGAGTAACACAATTTTGTCATGATTACATATTTTATTTCTTACCGGGTCATTATGTGTAAATACATACCTTTGTCGTAATAAGGGATCTAGCCCTACGGTAGGTTCGCTAAATTTATAGTAACAACATTTGTTAGCGGTTTAAGGTTCCCATGGATGACGCGTTGGCGCGTAATCTCACTCTGCCCCTATCCAATATATTCAAATGCAATTTCTAAAATGGCATCAACTTCATGAGTGTTGAGATAAATGGGACTTTTGATATTTTAATGTAAAGCTAATTTTTGGTACTACAAAACCTTGGTGTTTTGAAAAATTAGAAAATTCATTTTTAAAGAAATTTAGTGTGCAAAAATAGTAAATGAATTTTCTAATTTTTCAAAACACCAAGGTTTTGTAGTACCAAAAATTAGCTTTACATTAAAATATCAAAAGTTGCATTTATCTCAAAACTCATGGAGTTAATTCAATTTTAGATATTGCATTGAATACATTGGATAGGGGCAGAGTGAGATTACGCGCCAACGCGTCATCCATGGGAACCTTAAGAGACCGACGCCCATGTACTTTCGGCTATTTAAATAATAATTTATTTTGATATATTTTTTACTCGAGGATGAGGAGAGCGGGATTGTGGATCATGACCACGGCCACGGACACCCTCCGCTTTTGACCCCCACTGGAATTGATGAAACATTGCCGTAATTTTACAATAATAGTAAAATTTGAAGAAAATATGTCGTTTATTTTATGCAGATATTATCCATTGTCGAAGTTTTATTACCTAAGTTTAAAAGCTATGTCTTAACTGTTACTCATTCTTGTAATGAAAAGTTGGTCTCCAAAATTGCACAAACATAAATTTTGAACAAAGTTAAGCAGTCAAAGGGAACCAACTTATGTAAAAGTAGTTTTAAAATAAAAATAAGACACTCATGAAGTATCTACATATTTACTTGCCTTAAATTCTGAATGAGAGACGTAATCGGGGGCAAGTCGAGAAATGTAGAGAGAAATTTAATCTTCGATTCAATAGCATCATGCGACATGCCGTAAATCATTCCAAAATGGTGGAGAGCTTCATGAATGGTGTAAACGTGTAGGAGGGAGATTTCCTGGGGGTAAGTTGAAACAGAAAATTTTAATTTAATTAATGTCCGTTCGCATAGAGTACAACTTTTACAGAAATTTAGAATTCTCAGAAACTTCAGTCTCAAATTCCCCCGTCAGCGCAATTAAAATACTTCTGAATATAATCAATGCAAGTTGACAGGGGAATTTGAGAATGGTATATTTGAGACAAGTATATTTACATATTATCAACCAACCCGTGATGAGATTTTTCGCAAATTTGCATATTAATCTCTTTACCTGAGGCATGTATCCGCACAAGTGACCCAGGTGACCTTTCCTTTGTTGTCCAAACACGATAAGGTCACCATTATCGAGTTTGCGAAGGCCAACGATACAGGAGAGTAGGGTGGTCTTCCTGAAGCGTGAAACATTTTAAGATTTAGAGCCTCTAATTTTTTTCAGGTTTCCGAATTTTTTTAGTAAAGAATTTCATCTCACCCACAACCACTCGCTCCGAGAAGACCATAACTGCAAAAATACCAAAATCATCGTATAAGAAAATTGACACTTGAAACGAGTTCTCGAATAATCTTAAGTTTTTTTGTAAATGATTATGTATGCAGGCTTTAAAATTTAAACACATTTTTTTTCAAATTTTTTTTAATTCTGTGAAAAACAGCACGATGTTGAAAATAATTTTTGAATTAAAAAAAATATTTGAATTTGCTAATGATGCATGCATAATTTAGCTGCAATACAGATGCCTGTCTTTTTTTTACCCCATCCGATAAAAACTTACATCTCTTCCCTGGCTACCGTCATGTTGAGATTATTCAGCACAAACTTTCCCACGGCATACGCTTTCGTACCGTTTCGTACTGTCAGCGCCATTTTTGAAAGTGCTGAATCCCTACCAAATTATGTCAACTAATTAATCCAGATCTCTATATATGTCTTGTCAGGTAAAATATGTGGCACATATTGCGAAATTTATGTATTTATTGCAGATTGCATGCAATCGACCCAACGTGTAAATCAATACTGTTGGATTAAAAGTAAAATGCAGGTGTACGAAGGTACTGCAATTATGTAAGCTGCAGAGGCTGCGGAAGCTTGGGGACAATATCCCCGTACAAATTTAGATATTTATATTCCTGCAATAATATTGTACACATTGAATTCCAATCCTACAATGATATTATATATCCCAAATGTTGGGCAGACCGGGTTCATGAGTACGAGTATAAAGCATCAGCTATTCCAGTGGCCGCGGAAGTCGTGGGGACATTAGCATTGTAGGATGGGGGAGGGAGAGGTTAATATCTATAGCACGGGCAGAGGATGTACATCGTATACATAACTGTGGGAACCTCTGTCCTAAGTCTTCCGCGGCCACTGGGCTGTGGAACCATGGGGCCAATAATATGGTAAGATATGTACATACATACATATGAAGTTGAGCTGAGGTTTGGTTTATTAACATTGGAAGAATATCCCGTATGAAAATTTCAACGGCGTTCCTTCAGGGAAATTGTGTATATTAATTAGTGTGCATGTATCTATGTACATATGTATGCAATGCCATCCGCGCATAAACTTGTAGGTAGCATAGTTGGTTTTGCAGAATATACCCGACAGAAATCTCGTGCAGAATTATGCTTGTTATGCGGAAATACGTACTAATGACGACCAATTATGTATACATATGTACCTTTATGTACATATGCAAAATTCTGCAGAATCCTACACTGTTAGTAGGCAGGTAAATAATTGATTTCTCGGTATTAAAGTTACAACCGCTTGGTATTAAAATTGTGCGGGTCCGCAAAAATTTGCCACCGATACATAAATTTGTATGACCTTACTACCGAGCTATTACTACATACATCGTATTATACTTATTAATACTACTCTGGTAAATAGAGTCATATTTAAATATATGAACGGAACTTAAGAGTGAACACACACATAATTTGTATACGTGTACGAAAATCTATTTCTGTGCGGACATTGCACCGAGGTCCCCAGGCTTCCGCAGCCAGTTCTGATGTAAGTCATCAAACAGGGAAAAGTCTTCGTAAGCAAGCTGAACATGTACGTACGAATAAATAATATGTAGTTATTTATCGACACACTCACCTTTGCCTAATTGCGACCAAGAACTTGCCTGACTGGAAACTCACTCACTTACTTACATAATTCCAACTGCTTTATGTAAGGTTATGGTTACATAGTTCCATACGCGATAAAAGAAACTTCACCTCCAGGAATAAGTAATTTGTCGAGGTGAACGTGAAGATTATATATCATTATGTATACAGAACGAAGTGAAATTCATCATGAAATCATGTACTTAAGTATATATTGCCAGTTGCATATTTATTTATGTACATACAGACATACAAGTTGGGTGAGGTTCAGTGCCCGCGGAAGTGTGGGGACAATGTCCCCACGGTTATTCGATCTTCCCATCATCTACTCATGTTATATAAACCCATCCTTCTAACTTCCAACAATATTAATGTCCTCACAGCTCCCGCAAGCACTGGTGAGATTAAATAAATTGAAATACATCGAAAGTTATATTTATTTACTTAACTGAATAGAATTCCCAATTATATAAATATGTAGGTAAATGTGGTATGTTACATATTTTGTTTATTTGTATATACATACATGTGTCGTTACATTACGTAAAAATAAACATGGGTTGGCAATTAAATAAAATTGCATACATACTCTGTTAAAAATTCGCACAAGATCAACCCAGTATTCATGTAGTAACACATGAGCATCATGCAACAAATCAGAGTCGACTTAAACTTGTCCTTAATCAAGATTTCTTTGTAATTAAGTTATGTATGTACAATTTTTGTAACCTGCGTTACGTATTAATGATTTGTGAGAAAATTTGTGTATCGTCTAGTCGGAAGAGTAATTAAAGCTGGACATTGAACGTACATATCGAGGGATCTCCTTGAAAAAGGTGCAGTATTGTGTCTGCATTTTATATAGTTCGTAGTTATATAATAAGTAAGAAAAGTGTGAGATACATACATACACAGTTGTGATAATTAATCAGACTTGTACATAGAATAGAGTAACCTTGTGTACTGTATATTCAGAAAAATTGGAACCTGCTGATTTTTCCGACACTGTGAACTGTTGCATAAGTCGGTTATTTTTATATGTAGGTCTGGCTCGACGTGAATATTTAATTGAAGAAAAATTCGAATGGAAATCCCAGCTTGTTATTAAGCACATATTTACGGTACCTGCCAATATACCTATAGGACATAAATACAATGCGAGAAAGCTTACGATTACAAATTATGTATGTATGTATGTATGTATGTAAGCAGGTACCTAAAACTCGTACAACAGGTCAAATTTAATTAGATATGTCTCAAACTTTGGATGAGAATCTGTCTGCAACTTTGGTTTTTGTGATGAATGGGAAAGATTTACATACGTTTATACAGAGATTCGCATGTCTATCTGAAAACGAATTTGTCGTTGAATAACCCCGGAACGGTATGTCGCAGCGAGTCAAAATTTTGAAAAGACGAGCATGTTATCCTCAGATGGGTGTGTGCAAAAATCCAACTCTCCAACTTCAAAACTGCCTCCCCCACAGCCCCCAGAAGTTGAGACAGTCATAAAAGGTCTTTCCAAACTTAAATGCTCATACACCAAAATAATTAAACATCTTGAAAGTGAAGGGAATACATTTTCGAAATCTAGAATCAATAAGGTATTGAAAAATATAGGTAAAAAGTGAGAAAATTTGAGTAAAGGGCAACCACCACCCCTAGAAGAAAGCAAAGAAAAGTGTTAATTCCGACCGTACTTAGAAAAATTGACCTTGTGACCTCAAAAGACAATCCACCGACCCAAAAGTAAATTTCCCGTAAGGTTGGGGTGTCTAAGTCTTGAGTGAAAAGAGAAATTAAGATTTTGAAGAAACGACTTCATCGGAAAACTCGTCAGCTGACCGAAAAACAGGAAAAAAATCGCGTCCGTGTTTGCAAAAAAATTTATTCAAATTTTCTGTTAAGGAATAAGAGTGAGTTTTTGGTGACATTTGACGAAGCACTATTTTCTCTATAAGTTACTAATTGGGTTCAAAGAGCTTACTATACGATAAATGCCGAAAACAATTCACGCAAGTTGGTGCTTTCCCGTGAGGAGAACTTTTGTAAACAGTTTATTGTCGTGGGTGCAATGTCGGGTCGTGGTGTCCTCCCACTTATAAAAGTCCCCCAAAAAGTGAAGAAATCTTCGAAGTATTATGTGGACCGTGTATTGAAACCACTTTTAGAATACCATTTTCTCAAACTGTACGGCAAAAAAATAAATTAGGTGATTTTTCATCATGACGGAGCGTCTTCTCAGACCGCAAAGTTGATCCAAGATTATGCAAATGACCTTGAAGCTATACTGGAGATAAAAATCATTTCGAATAGTGAAATACCTGTACAATCCCCCGATGTAAGTCAAATGGACTTCTTTGGGTTCAGATACTTGAAAAGAAAAAAAATTTCTGAGGAGAACGATTTTTTAGACAGAGTTTGGAAAGAGTTGAAATGACTGTTTCAACTTCTGGGGGCTGTGTGGGGAGGCAATTTTGGAAGTAGAGAGTTGAATTTTTGCACACACCCATCTGAGGATAACATGCTCCACTGTTCAAAATTTTGACCCGCTGCGACAAACCGTTCCGGGGTTATTCAACGAAAAATTCGTTATCAAATAGACATGCGAATCTCTGTACTTACGTATGCACATTATACACCGGTTGTATGCACATAATTGATCTCCAAATACGTAAACCATTGCGTCGTGCATGACTTAATAATCGTCTCAAATCTGGAGCTGGACTCGAACTACATACCTAAATATTTAGCATACTGTATCTCGGTTGTCCATAAAAGTGTCGAAAATTAATTCCGGTGATTTTTGCATATCTGGACCAATTTGTGGGTGCTATATAGAAACTTGAGGCCTTACTTTTTACTATGGAGTTATATCACAAAGGATAAGAAATAAGTTAAACTTATGTATTTGTTCTCCAGAAAGGTGTCGTCCGTAAATTATTTAAGTAACGCGAGAGGGGGATGAGGAGTGAGGGGTCTAAGGCTCCAGTGATATCGTGTCTATGTTGCACATTTTTTTAAAGGGGGGAGGGGAGGGAGGTCTAGAAAATCGCGACTCTTTCGTTACGTAATTCATGGAATGACTAAAGAGAGGTTATTGTTTAAGCAAAATTAAAAATTTTTGTTATCTGTATAGGCATAAGATTTTTTTTCCTTGAAACTGGTGTATTCTTTAATTAAGAACGACATCACGTTTGTTTGGAACGGGAGGTTTTGTCTTATTTTTCTTCGAGAACAAAAAAACCTCCGTACTAAAGAACGTCCGGGAATGAATGGGAATGGTCTGAAAATGTGGTCATAAAATCACAATGAGTTATCGGAATTTTAAACTTTTTGCATATGTATAATACCAAATACGTACCTACATAATTTAGTTAATAGCTAAGGCCGCCACACCCCCGTTGGCGACTAGTTCGATTTTCTTGCGAAGATTTTTCATTAAATTTTTTCCCGAAGTTTTTGCCACTTCCGAGGTGATTTTCTTCCATCGTCCTTTGAATTTTCGAAAGGTGTCAGGCACATCTTGAAGCCGGGAGTATACTGACTTAGAACGTGCCCAGAATTTTTCGATTGGACGGAGTTGGGGTACATTAGGTGGGTTGATATCTTTTGGTACGAAATCAATATTTTTCTTTCTGAGGTACTCGGTCACTTTCTTTGCATAGTGACAAGTGGCGAGGTCAGGCCAAAACAAAACTTTATCATTTTTGTGAAACCTATTAATAAATGCTTCCAATCCAGCCTTGACGCAATTTTTCAGATAAATATCTTGATTGATATTCCCTTCGAGAACTACCGGGTCTGATACATGTCCGTGACTGGAGATGCATTGCCAAATGCAATATTTCTTTGGAAATTTGTCTTTTTTTCGTACTTTTTCTTCATAAGCCACTTCAGAGGGATCCGAGCTATGAAAAAAATGACGCCCTGGAAGATTTGAAGGGTCAACCGGAACATACGTTTCGTCATCCAGGATCACTACTTTTCCACGCATTTTCTTCAACAATTTTTGACAGCAATCCTTGATCCGACTTTCTTGTACGGGCTTGTAATTTGGTGCAGGTTTTTTGGTCCTTGCTTTGATTCCTAATTTATGGACCTTAATTTCCCCCAGGTAGCTTTTGGAAATTTTGACTTTCCTGGCAGCTACAGCTACTGACGTTGATGGCTTGGTTTTGAAAATTTTTTCAATTCTATTTTTCACTCGAGTGGTCGCTAGCTTCGCCGGACGACCAGCTGGCTTCTTGAATTGCACATTTTCGGAATCCTTGAACTTTTTTATGTAGGAATACACATTTGAACTTGGAATTCCTTCCTGCTTAAAAAAGTTCCAGGTCACCTTGGAGTCTCGGTTGGCTGTCGTGTTGTAGAACTCCATCACTCGTTTTGCTAACAGCTCCCTTTCAAACAAGCTTCTTCTACCCTTATCCATTTTTGAAATTTAAGAGTGATATACCAAATTGACCCTAATGAAGTGGGCTTTCAGAAATTTAAATTATTATAGTTCGCGGGTTTATTGATTTGTCAATATACTCGCTAGAGCGCGCATTCCCATTCATTCCCGGACGTTCTTTAATTACGCAGAAATAGTCCCTCCACGTGTGACTATTTTTCGGTCCAGTTGTTTAGGGTGTACATAAGTGCATGCGGAAAAGTTAAAGACAGATTGGTTTTAGATCAGGTTCAGTAGTTATGTAAATACTTATACATATATGCACAGAGTGAATTTTGTAAAAATCCCGTCCTGTAGAACCAAAGATGGTTATGTAAATATCCATTTTTAATAGACCAGGTATAATAAATATCGACTAGTTGAACTGGCACAAACCGGAATATTTATATAATTATTTGTGTCAATAATGAATCATGTGAACTTTTAGTGAATTGCGTACATACACACTAATTTAAAGGGTATATGTTTACTACATAGTCCAACCACCACGAAGGTAATTAGAACATTCAAATCTATGCACAGATGTACATATATTTATTCTTAACTTACATATGTATGTGCATATGTACCATGTATCATGTACATACAATGATAATGAAAATATTTAATTACAAACATGCATAGTCATAATACATAATAATGTACTCTACGAGAACAATTTATACTCCAATGAATCATACTGTTAATTTCTTACTTGTAAACATATGTACATAGGTAGATGTGTATTTTGATCTATGCAGTGCCAAATTTCGATAAAAATGCGAAGCATATTTTTGAGATGTATACATATGTACATATGTAAATATCCTCTCTGCTTGCTAAAAAATGTGCCAATTAGGGTATTTTAATAGAACATTCTCAAATCAGGGCGACGACCTTGACCTGGGTAAAACATTTAAAAATTGAGGGGCAATAAAATTATTTATGTCACAAGTTTCGGGAGATTTGGTAAATGAACATTTTAAATTAGAGTGACGCCGTAATAAATTATTTAATTTTCATTTAACCGTTCATTTGCACAATTTAAGAATTTGAATGAGCTATTAATGTATTTCATTATTAAACATGTTAAAAGATCAACACAATATGTACGTCGTAGAAAATAAAATCTTCATACATTATGATTTAAAAAGTGGAATTATTAGTCATTTACATATGTATTTACACATGTATGAATGTATATATGTACATATCAAACTACAAGTATTACAAATCTTTTGATCGAATGCGACACAGGGGGAAAATTGATTACTAAAAATCATTTACGATCGATAAGGAAATTCCCAGGAAGATGTGGCCTCAAATCTGCCATAAATACTTCAACTTTTAATTAACTCTGAATTTTTCTTGAGACAAATATGTACATATTTATTTACGTACGTCCATTGTCAATACATACATTTCGTGACTAGATATATTTATTTACATACTCGTATCTACATATGTATATCATATCAATTATTTAAATACATCTGATCATCCAGTAGTAGAGGAAACAATGAATTTATATTGCAAATTTATTTATCCATGGTGTATTTTCGCTGAGGATCAGGTACCCAAACCGAACCAGACATGCAAGAAATTTCCACGAATAAATTGCAGTTTTTTATATTTACATGCGCAAGCAAATACACATATGCATTTACATTAATCAACGTATTGACGACTGACAGAGTGATTAATGTAATAGGGAAGTAGTTCCAAACCAGGAAAGTTTCTTGAAATTAACAAAAATCACTTACTTAGGCTAAAATGAGAAAGTTTGTCCTCCAGTTTTTTACCTGGTTTCTTCTGCGAATTGTTAATCAGGATTTTTGCATCTACAGATAAATTACTTATTAAAACCATGAACTAATTACGAATAATTAAGCCATGATAAAGTCATATTCACACGTCTTCGACCTTTGAGACTGGAATCAGTCACGTACACCTAACGTCCTTTGTCAGCCTCCTCAGCCGGCGCATCTATGCATGTATTTATTGACATATATAACTATGAAAAAAAGTAGTCTCCTTACGTAAAATGTTGTCAGACTGTTACGTAAATGCATGTCTGGTCTTCGCTTGGTAAAAAGTTGACGTTGACATCGCTCGTATTTATTTATTTATGATGGAAGAGGAAAGCGAGTTGATTTTATTGTATGGTCTGGATGGAAATACCCTGAATGGAAAAAGTGGACCACTCAATTTGTAAAATATTTGTAATTTATCTTTTGATTATCGGCATACATAACTTTAATGCGGGTAAGTAAATAGAGACATCTTTATAAAAATCATACTCAGTTAAATAAAAACGTACCTACCTATAAAAATCATATGTACATAAATATTTTGATAAGTTAAATAATTTTCGTCTTCACATGGAGACTACATAAAACTACATACCTAAATTTATATACATACATACAATCAGTAAAATCCTAGCGGAATCTAGTTTATACTAGTTCCCTTTATTGGGAGGGATGCCTCATTTAACGAAAGTTTCCTTTATGTATATGTACATACGTACGTACATAATGACCGTAAATAGAGCAGGTGGAGGATAAGAAACCCTTGACCTACAATCCCATACTCTAAGAAAACTGGTGTCGAATTATCTGGAATAATTAATTATTGGAGTATAGTTCTGTATGTACATATGAATGTGCCAATACCGGTATAATAACGAACAGTACCGTTTAGTAATGTCACGGCAACGAAAAATTATAACCGATTCGGTTGGAAATCATTACAAAGTTAAAACAAGGACGGATTAAATATGTGACTCCACCTGATTTTTTTTGGTAGTAAACCTTCATTTGATTACATTAAATATGAACATATTAGTCTCGTAAAATTTGTTGGTCGGCCAGTGATTTATGTCAGCAAATAGTTCCTCAATAAAAGTTATCGTGACATGATGAGACGTATTTTAATCATTATTTAGTTTTATATGTATGTAGGTACATATATAATTACACGGGTTAGATTATATGTACGAGTGTGTAAAAACTGTGAAAAAGGTACTTAATTTGTAACAAACAAGTCACTATGCCAGTCCAAAATCAATTATTTGTGCAGTGTTTCCTTTAGCAAGTGAACTGTTTTGTGCATCATTTCCTAAAGCAATTAGTCTCTCTATGCATGCATGTGTACTGTACTCTCTGTACCACGGTGAGGGGATGGGGTATGGAAAGTAATACATTTTTTCCAGTATTATTCATGCATGCAACTGCAACAGGATAGGTATTTGTAGTTTGTAGATAAGATAGTGTTGTCGATTTATGTATCTGTGGAGGAAATATTTATAAATAAATACATATTAATTATACATACATATGTGCATGAATGCAATTTCATTGCATTCATATATACCTGCATACATTCGGACATATGTATGTATGTATGTACCTATGTATGTGCATACATACTTACACTCAAAACAAAACGGTGTCAATATATGACTTAACCGCCTTGGTTACAATTGTGATTCCGAGAAGTAATGAATTTTTTTCCGTCCGGTCATAACATTATAACTACCGGTATCAAAATCATCATAACTCGGATTCAACATTGTAACCAAGGCGGTTAAGTCATATATTGACACCGGCGGTGTTGATTCGACAAATTTTTATTTTGAGTGTACATATATACGTATTTGTATGTATGCATATATGAATCGTACAAAAAGTATGTACACCATTACATACATACAAAAGGCGTTAGGACATGGTTTTGACGAATTCATACCTTAATTGCGGGATGGTTTTTAGTCGTAGAGATTTCTAACTTTTTTTATTTGAAAGCCCATGTCTCAAACTATAGGTAAGCATATCTGGCATATGAGGCAAGGTCAAATTTGGAGAGGTGTCCTTTTTTAGTTTTCCAAACCAGTGTTCTTAAAAAATGGCGTTGAACAAAAGATTTGTTTATTAGGTCCTGATGCAAAATTCGTCTTTGCGACTATTATCAAGGGACTTAGCATGTTTTTCACTATATAAAACCACTTTTATCTCATGCTTATCTTTTAAGTCCCTTTTGTAGTCTAGCTTCATACTTGTCCTAATGGAATACTCTCGTGAACGCAACTCCTCGACTTTTAAGGCCCCCACATTTTACGACTTTGATGCTAAAAATCCCTAACGTGGTTTTTATCCAAGGTACATATAGTATATTGCACTGTAAGTACTTTTGACACAATTTTGATAAGTGGTTAAACCCCACGGACTGAGTTTTCATCAGACCTTATAAATTTTTTGGAAAAGTTCCCGTCGTTTTCGATGTCGAACTTCAGAAATAATCTAACTAACCAAAACGCAATAATTTTATTATTTTGTTACTTGTACCTTGTAGATAAAATAGTTCTGCAGTAGGGGACACAAAAAGATTAGTAAAATTTATTTTCGAAAAAAATTGACCATTAATTTTCCAAATAAGTTCACGAGTTTTTAGGATTCCGCGACAGCTGATTAGCTAGGGTCGTTCTCCAGAACTGTTTACACAAAATCTTCACTGTTTAATTTAATATTATTTGGGACACTTAGAGCTTTGCCCTCAATCTTCATTTGACCGAGTGGGTCCGCTTTCAAGGTCAGCAGGTCAATTTTCCTGTGCACGGTCCGATTTATCAATTTTCATGAAAAAGTATCAGCGACGATGGAGGCCCAACGTTATGTAATTGATGTAGATTCTTTTATTATTACATGCAATGATTATCTAGGGTTGTAATATTAACAATCATTCACCTCTGACCTCATAGGTTATCATGCTATATGAGAAATTCAGTTTGGAAAGTGTTTTTTTGGCTCCTTCCAACTCTGGGGGCACTGGAGGGGGCATTTATAAAGCTATCGGCCTAAAATTTTAAATATATCTTTTTGAGAGTATTATCTTGCAACTGACCAAAAATCAGTTCCAAATTCAACTCCCCGCCAGAGATATTCACCCGCAAATTCGTCAAAACATGTCCTAACGCCTTTTGTACATACATCTTACTCGGTACACTCTTAGGATTAGAAAACTGATATTAAATCGTTACTTACCGGACTACATAAATATATATGTATACATATATATTTAAGTGGTGATACAAATGCGTATACGCATTGTACATCCAAAATATCCATACGTCCAAAATATTAAAGCGACCGTTTGTAATTGACTTGATTCGGAAACTTTATGTTTATGCGGAACAAATATTTGCCACACATGTGAAAGATGACATAACATTTTATGACCCAAATAAGGACGGGAACAAGTATTCGTATGTAAATATGCACATGAATAATGTTTACTGTACAGAAAACCAAGAAAAAAGCATCCAACGCACAGCGTCTATAAGCAACCGTATCCTAAAGTATAAATATCCGCGTATTTATTTACAACTGGACAACTTATTCATTTGCATTGTGATAAACAAATGCACAAGGACGCTTGTACGTACACTCTTAAAAACTGGTATTACTTATGTACAGCATTGCTGACCGGGCTACATATAAATACGTTGCCTCAACCAGCACTGGTAATAAAGGGCATTACCGTTCAGTAATTTTGTGGTATTAAAAAATCCACCGCTCAAAATCAAACTGATACCAACCCGGTATTAACTTATTACCAAATCAATAATAATAATAATGAGGATTTATTTGTTCGCATCAAGTCAAACCATTACATTTTAAAAATAAGATCAAACCCTATGAAGTGGGAAATCCTTGACCAATACCAGTACGAAGGATGCACATATGTATGTGACTCGATCAGATTTTAACGGTGTACATATGTATGTAGATATGTACAATGCATACATAAATTAGTCTTTGCTCCATTATTCGTGCTAAAACCCATCTTATGCGACGCCAAAGAGGAATTAGGTATATGTACTGAAATCAAGTAAAAGTTAATGTAGGTATGCAAGTAAAAATGTCTCGGATAATTTGTGAATTATACAAGAATCAAGTACATTTATACATAAGTCCTCCTGTACATAAATTTGGATTTTTGGTTCAAAAATCAAAAGTCCAAAAATCAGACATGGGTTTAACAGAGAATTCATGGAAAACCCTTAACCATGCTAATCTCAGGGAAAAATTTATATATGTACATACATACAAATATTTGCATATTTGCATGCACCTTCTGAAAAGTGGGTTAGCCTGAGTTTGCAAATGAGGTAGGTCCATTGGTAGGTCTGAACGTAAATATGCATACGATAGTATAAATACAGAAGTAATTTCTTCATTATTCTTACTCATACTTTCCCACGTGACGACATATCTGAATTTTCCCTCCTGCTTAAAATTCTGTAAAGGTTGCCAAATAATTTTCATCGTTAATTTGGAAATTTCCTTAGTGAAGAATTATGTACGTAAGCTCATAACAGTTTTCATGACAAATGACTAAATTCTATTAAAATTAGAAACTATGGTTTCGAAAGACGACTAAATTTGACCGATTTAGACTCTGACTCGATAGTTTAGAAAACTTGTCTCATTGACCACGTTAAAATTATCAGTCTAACAAAAGTCTTTTATTTTTGACAATCTCACAATTTGACAATTATCCAAAACGGGAGCGAGTTTTCTAGTCTATCATTTTTTACATATTTATAACGCAATAGATATGTCTGACCAATTACTTTACAATTAAACTTATCCATGTGTACATACATACTTATGTAATTACGCTATGTATAATTTGACATGGTTCATTAAATTAACTGAAGGGTATTAAATTTATTTCAGAATTTGTATACAATTTCAGTATGGCGCACGCTTCGAAAGGGGAGCCAATCTCAATCTTAAAGATTGCCGAAGATAAAGTCACGATTGACGTGAACGCGATAAAATCCATCTTTGAGAAGATTGGCAACTGTTATTTCGCCATTTATTCGATCAACGGGCCCAAACGGACGGGGAAGAGTTACATGTTGTCAAATTTCATTCGATACCTGAACCAACAGAGTACTTCGAAGCACCATGGGAACGACTGGGTTTTGAATTCTGGAAACATACACACTTTTCCCTGGAGAGGTGAGTCTCAGCCTTATGTAGTAATTAACTTAGGATTAGTGACAAACTTGCGCGAAGTGTGCACAAACGTACATATACAGAAACGAAATATAGCAAAAGGATGAAACCAGCAATTCTCCCCAAAAATATGTGATCACACCCCCTAACCTCTATTAGCCCGGAAAATTGATAGAATCCTCCCCCCGGGGTCATATGCATGATGCCACAAACCGATCTAGATTATCTCGATTCGTTCTCCCGTAATTCTGATGACGCACAGACAGACGGACGGGCTAAGTCTTCGCCTAATAGGGTTTCACACCATAACAAATTTATTTATTTGCGTGTGTAAGTGTATACACTTCTTAGGTACGTGGTATGTAAAAATGTATACATAAATACTGACTAAAAATAACTACACGGTGATGATTTGTTACAAATTTGCTTCGAGTGCGCGTAAATAAATACATACATATTTACGTATTCGATTACTATACTACACATGTATTACATGAACAGATTTCTTAGAACTTAAGTATTCATTCGTAACGAATTATGTTCCAATAATTTATGCGCATACATACTTATTCATTCATACATACATACATACATACTGCACATACATACTTATGAACATATTCCTTGCTTAAGTTTCCTTTAAATATGTACATTTAGAACAAGGTTTTGCTTTTTATGAATTTTACCAGACTAAAGAAAACCTGTAGAATGATTCATATCCTCCCAAATTTTTAGGTGGAGATGACCGTCAAACGATCGGAATTGACGTGTGGTCCGAACCATTTTGGACGACACAGAACGGACGTCGAGTTGCCATCATTTTGATGGATACGCAAGGTTCCTTCGACGATAAGACGACCCTCCAGCAGAACGCAATCATCTTCGCGATCTCGACCCTCCTCTCGTCCGTCCTCATCTTCAACATTATGCGCGACGTGGGTGAAGATGTCCTCCAGTTCTTCCAATTCTTCTCCAGCTTTGCGACCCTGACCATACCGGAAGTCGAGGGTGCGACGGGGGACCGGGGGGCCGGTGCCTTCCAAAAGCTGATCTTCCTCATCCGAGACTTTCAATTCGTACAGGACTACGAGTTCGGGTATTATGACGACAAGCACGTCCCCCAGGGGCAGGAAGTCCGGGGGAAGAATTATAAGAAGGAAAAGCTGGATTCAAAATCGAACCAACCCACGGAAGTGAGATTCACGCATGACCAGGTGGTCAAAAGTTATCAGGTATTTTAAAAAATATTGGAATTAGATAAGGAACTAAATTTACATGGGGTCATTCATATCGAACGTCGCACCACAAGTCGGATGACAGCATACATATTTTCATCATATTGCGACGAATCAACCCAATTAGGAACATTATTTATAATTTCTCGTAATCTTGCATATTTCAGGTGATAAACCTCACATATTCTAAAATTACTAGACATAAATCACAAAAAAACAAATCCCACATTTAAAATTGTATTTAACCTGGAAACGTCGTGTCAAATTTGGTGAACCTTATGCTGAAATGATAAATAATTTTCAACCGATATGAGATTTCTAGATTCGAAATTTTGAGGATTTTTCGAGATGTCGATTGACATGAGTATTTTTGATAAGCGCATATGTAGATACATACGTACTTGTGTACATTATTACATGTATGTACTTACATTTTTGTTATGATTTATTATTCATTGTAGTATAAGTTATATTCGCAGAGATGTATGTGTACATATTCTATTGAGAAAAAAGCTAAACGACCAGCGCCAGTTTTTGTTATGTACATACATAGGTACATATAAAAATGTAGTACATACATACAGATCTGTATTTGCACACGTAGATATGCAAATTAGTACTTATGTATCTGTCTGCATGGATTCGCTAAACATTTCGAAAAAAAATTATTTTTTCAACATTCCCTATATATTTATGTACACAATTCCAGGACGTCGGCGTCTACCTAATGCCCGAGCCGGACAAGGGCCTAAAACAACGCGACAAAGTGGACAATCTAGACCCCGAATTTTCCCAACACATCGGCTTATTCGTCCCCCTCATGCTCTCCCCGGGTCATCTCGTCACCAAAAAAATGGGTGGCGTCGAGGTCACTGGGTCCGAAATGATTAAATACGTCACCTCCTGGGCCACCCTGTTTGAAGGAGACGATCTCCCCGAAATCAAGAGCGTCTACCATTCCGCCGCCGAGAGCCAGTTCATCATCGCGAAACATTTGGCGCTTACTTTTTACGCGACTGAAATGCAAACATTTATGCGCAAAAATTCCGACGGGGTGGGCGACTCGTTACTCTCCATGACACACGCAAACCTCGTCACCGAGTCGTTTGCCATTTACAAAAGCAAATCCAAACTTGGCGGGGCAAATTCGGACGCCAAATTTAAGGAAGAGTTCACCACCGAGTCGGTCCGTCTATTTGACACTTTCCGCTCTATTAATCACGCCAACTTGACGGCCTCCAAGACTCGGGAGGAGCTGAAGGAGACGCAGGCGCGGTTCGAGAGGGACATGCGCGCGCAGGAGAGGAGGACGCGGGAACGGGAAGAAGCCCAGGCTAAGCAGAGGGCCAAGATGGAGGCCGACATTGCGGCGGGAATGAAGAAGAATGAGGATTTGCGGGATGTTTTGGAAGAACAGAAAAAGGAGCGGGAACGAGAACGGGAGGAGGCGAAGAAAAAGGAGGCTGAATTTGAAAAGAGGTTGGCCAGCGTAGCGACGAACCAGCAGCCGTCCTTTGTGGATATGTTGCCAGGAATACTTGGAGGATTGGCGAGCGTGCTTATTCCTGGGTTAGGGGCAATGGCGAGACGGCGATAGGAATGTTTTGTGGTGTTGGGGATAAGTGTCAGCTCATTTGCATACATAAATCTTACGATGCCCATTTTCTCGGAAATATGGGGTTTTCGTGTTGAATATGTCAATCGCGAAGGTGGCAAGACATGCAAATGAGGTGGCTAGCACAAAAGATTGAACTACGTATGTACATATACTATATATCCACGAAGGTTTTAACTTTGACCGAAGTTAAGAAATCTGAGAGACTATATGTACACCCTGTCAGTCTCAAATTCCCCGGTCGCATAATTAAAATCTTTCCGACAATGAGGTGGTTATTGCCAATTTTGACCGGATTAAATAATTGTTCATGCTCAGAAATAAGAAATAAGCCGACCCGTATTTTTCATTTTCCAAAATGTTTGTGGCCGATTAAAAAAATCAGGATTTTTTAAGACGCTATAACTTTTTGAATTCTAGCCATATTTCCAAATGAAACACAATTTTCATCACAATTACTTTGCTGAAATTATAAAAACCCATTTGTAAAAATAAAAAAATGATGTATTCATACTATTTATAAAAATCCAAAAAATTGTGCTTAATTTGTGAAATCTCGTTAAAATTCGAAAAGTTACAGCGTTTTAAAAAATCCTGATTTTGGTTGAATTTTTTTTAAATATTCTGCCATGGGCGAAAACATCCGCATTCTGGAAAACGCAGAAATACGGTCCGCTTATTTCTGAGCGTGAGCAATTTAAGTCAAAATTGGCGATAGCCATCTTAAACGATCTCATGGTGAGTCTGACAGTGGCGTCGTTTTTCGGAATTATACATTTATGAAAAAGTTTAAGCCTGCGTGGAAAGAGAGTATGTTCGGAGCTTCAAAATTCCCCAGTGGATGACACCAATGGTATTGTACAAAGATTATCTTATTTATTTGAATTTTATTCTTACTTTATGGGATTTGCATTGAATATTTAGTGCTCTTCGATACATGCAAATACGATCCGTCTTCTATCTATGCATACATAAATATATAATACATTACTTGACATGATCAAAAGTGAAGTAATTTTTTGTATTTTTTACATTCTGTATGACAATACAATATTAATTAATTAATGTCAATTAGATCAAGCTCTAATAAAAATTACTTAGATTAGTGTTTGTGAAAATTAATTGTATGTAAAGAGTTATGTACATCAATTGGCAACATTCAATAATTTAAATGAATGTTTAAATACGTACCATTTAAGGATTTATGTGTGTATGTAGCTCTATACGTATTTTGTTAGTATTTATTTACATTGTTTAACACAAAAAATAACATTTTATTGTTTAATTATATTCAGTAAGTATTTATATATATGTATCGCAACAAATTTAATTACCTAAACTGTTATTAATTACTTTACCGGTGAAGTAATACTCTACCGGATATTTTAATTTATATTTATATTTGCTATACAAATTCAACAAGTACACACGTATGTATACTTATGTATGTATCAAGCCGAATATGCAAATATGTACAAATGTATGAATGAGTGTATAGATAAACGTGTCTTAGGATTTAATAATTGTTAATTCGTAATCTAACTTTTTGACATAAAATGGAATAAATTTTGCAATAAAGACTTTCCAGTCGAAAATGATTATTCCATTGCAAATCACACTTGTGCATAATTAATGTCATTTTACGCAATTGCTACCATTATTTACCAATGTACAATGCTGGAAACATCTTCCAAACGATATGTTGCCACTGGCAAATCATATCATAAATATTCCAGTCGCTTATTTAATTGGGTTTGCACTTAATCAATTAAGTAGATTGACGTACGTATGTACATGTACATATGCATATTTGCATATTTTACTGATTGAGGGATTACTTAATTAGATAGCTTTCTACCAAAATAATCATGGATTTGGTCCAAAACAGCAATAAAAAAAGCATTTGCCTAAATTGTTTTCTGGATAAATTGTTACACAGATCTCACTCTAGACCAGATACATACATACATACAAGTCTTTAAATATTTGAACAATTGGACACCAAATTGGCCCGAATGTATTTAAAATATTACCTCTTGTCTGCATTCCTGACGATATCAATCTTCTCCAGGTGCAAAGGTCAAGATGATGATGACGACAATGGTGAGTTAATAAGCCTTTATACAAAAAACTTGATCATTTTATAAAATTTAAAAAAAATAAAAAATACAATTTTTTTAGTCTATTTTGTATTACCAATTATGTATCAATACTGAGACAATTCACGCAGTCCTTGGTAATATTGTAAAATCCGTAAATTCCCTAAACTTTCAAACTACTACAAAATTTTTCAGATACATACATATTTCTGACGAGAATTAGCCTAAAATTTTTTTGTAAATTTATGTACATGGTAAAAGCTTGCAAAATTATTTTACAAAACTTCCCGATTTTACGAGTTATGTAGCAAGGACTGCGTGAATTGCGCACTATTTGGTAATAAGCCAAGAGTATAATTCATCCATGCATAGCTTTATTACCGCATTATTTACTTATTTCGATTTTTTAATCTTACATTCTGAGCTGAATTTTTAAAGATATTTTTTCCTGGCAGCCGTCACGACCAGACCACTCGTGACTTTGCCGACCCTGGCGACCACGGAGGACCCCGTGCAAACAGCCCTCATACTGAACCGACTCGGTGAAGCGGTCGAACTAGTGGATGGCTTTATCACGGGGATATTTTGCATTCCATTTGTCGCCATTGGAATACAAAATTGTGGAAACCGTGGTGGTGGGAATATGCAAACGATAAGCGATACTATGCAGCCACAGGGAAATTTAAATATTTCGAAAACTTGAATATTCAAATGGTGATTGTTAATTTTATGAGAATATATAAGTAAATAAATAAGTGAAAATAAATGGGCACTCGAGATTGGCTTACGAGTCTGGATTGATTAGCTTGCAAATGTTTTGTGGTAAATGCTTCCATTTATCCTATAGTAATTGACTTGTAAATTTGTAACATTATTTCTGGAACCTGTTGAATCGATGGGAAAATTTTGGATCGCTTTGAAATGTGCGAATTATTTACTAATTTTCGAATATATTATGAGAACCTTGTTTCTGCATTGTAATTTTTTATTAGCATTACCATATCATTAATTCATATACAGCAATGCCCGTCATAATTCTGCCGGAAGAGTCATATGCGTACCGCTATCAGTAATAACTAGATTATTACAATTTACAACCAGTTTCTTAAAAGTGTGATACAATACATAAATACATACATATGTACTCACTAATGATCGGAAATAATTAATTATTAGTCATTAACGATTAATACGTACTTATTATTATTACATGATTAGTATTAATTAATTATAGGCAGTTCCAAATACTCCATCATTATTTCAGAAAATATGTATGTGCATGTCTTAACTTTGGCTAACAGTAACTAAATGAAGATTTCTATCTTAATTTTAATTGGATACAAAAATGTCGCCCTAAATTATTTCCCAATTGTGAGCAATGCTCTAAAAGTGCCTTTAACTATGCCCCGAAAGAACTTTAGTATGGTGTTCCGCCTAATGGCAAAAATCCCTTCTGCTCCAAAATCCAGGGGACGACAGGACCTGCGCACCCGTGGAATCAGCTTTTTGTCCAGAGCACTCTCGGTTTTATGTTTTTCCAAGATTTCGGTATTTTCTTCAGTTGGAGTCAATCCTTCCCCCAACCTCTAACGCGATTCCCCACATAATTTGCAAAGTTAGTGTCCACGTGGTCATGATCAACTGTTATTGAAGACAAACTTATTCTTTAAATCGGACTTCATTGCTTACTTCTCCCTGTATTAAGCATAGGGTGAAAAATGAAAAGAGTGAAAAATTCTTTCATTCACAATCATTCATCTAAAACAACGGAATCCTTCAATCACTTTCATTCACATGACACGAAATTCATTTTTGATTCACTATCATTCATTATCATAATCAGTCAAATGAGTGAAAGTGAACAGGTGTTATTGGGGTAGAGTGACACGAAAAATTAAAACTTGCAATACGTCATCCAAACGAGCCTTATATAATTTATCAAAAAATTCTGCACATTTTTGATATATTTACCATCGTATGAACGTCCAGCCTGTCCCATTCCTTGATAATGACGAAATTGCAGTACAGACAAAATTGCCCACACATTCCGTGCATGTAAAAAAGGATGAATCCAATTATATTCATTACTTCCTTGTGGAGCAATTGGACGCAGTTATACTCGTGATGAACGTTTCCAAAGTCGAACAGTAATTTGTCTCGGTTTTCAATTTGTGGGCCAAATTGTAACTCCGAACCGACAATTGAGCAGATTGGAACTATTTACATAAATAAATAAATATGAAACAATCAATCGCAAAAGCTATAAATTAAGGGTCTGGGAAAAAATTTACTTTTCCAAAATTAATTTCACGTTAGAAACAATAATTGCTAGGGACCCAAGATTATTATCAATCTATGTGGGGACAACCACGATTAATTGGCATCGTTTCTAGGGAACGCTTGAATTTGGTTTGGTCACTGTGCCCTCAAGTTTTTGAAAAAAAGTTGTTTTCTTTTGTTTCATGGATACACAATATGCAACTCATGCCATCAATTTTGTGATTCTAAGCCAATCACTTTAAGAGACCATTTATCTCCATTGGACAAGATGACACGTTATTAAAAAATATATATACATACCTAAAATATTTATAACGATAAAATTGACAAATTAAACGTTACATACTTATTTGAGAAACTTGTCCTCTTGTGTATTACTGAATTTTATTATCAAAGTTGACGTGGTTATTAAGGAATTTCTCCCAGGCCCTTAAATACTATACGCTTAAAAATCCAGTATTGAAATAGCACCAAGCGGTATTCATGTATGTGTTACTACCAAAATGGTATTGGTAATACCGTGTAGTAATATCTCGCTATTAAAGTTTACCATATCGGTAGCAAATTGTTGAGGTACAATATAACTACCAAACGGTGGAAAGTTTAGTACCAAGAAGTCAATTCCTGTGTGGTATGATTATATCAGATTTCTAACAATGTACTAAATCGAGAGCAAACTTACGATATGCATATGTAATTTTAATACCAAGTGGTAGCAAATTAATACCGAGATATTTATAGACGCCTGACTATACCAGATTTTTAACAGCATATTTAAGTATGTACATACAAAAACTTACACACAAACATTGCCGACAAACTGCCAAACGCAAGTACCAAGAACCAAATTGTGACGGCAGTGCCGAAGAAAAAGAAAAGATCTGCCAATAAGGCGACATTGTACGCCAGGTATCCGACCATCGTCTCCGTCATAGTTTTTGGCAGTATCGTATGTGCAAAAATGGGTGTGTCTGGAGCCAAAATGAAGAATCCGAAACTTGTCCAAGGTCCGCAAGAGGTGAAGAAAATGCAAACAGAGAGAACCAGATCGATGGCTCGGGAGTAAAAGGACTCTTCAGGAATGTATTTCTGCATCCAATTTCCTTCGGCAAGAAAAATATATTGGTACATATATGATAATATTTTCATGTCTATATTAGTACAATTAATAGTTTGGTATTCAGTTCCTGCATGCCAAAATAACCACTTTCCACCCGTTACTTCTTGAAAATGGTTACTTGCCCCCGAAACTAAATATATATTTTCGTGGGTTCCAGTTGCCGCGGAAGCTATGAGAGCATTAACATTGTAGGACATGGGAGGAAGGGATTTATAACATGAGAGGATGATGGGGATATCGCATAACAGTTATGTTCCCATGTTCCCGTGCACCCTTCCGCGACCACTGGTGAATACGCCCACTATTGAGTACTTATTTAATTGTTCAAATGATCACGCACCTTGAAATTGCACCGAATATTTTAGCACTCTATTCATCCCGGTATTGATCTCCTCTTGCTTAAAGTAGACTAACCACAGGGGAAACGAAGCCATGACGGTGGTAAACCCAAAAGCAAAGCAGATGTGGAACGACGGGTGATGACTACCACCCGGGTATTCCGTGTAGATTTGGTGTGTCCGCCAACAATTATTTATCATTTGCAGAGTCACCGAGAGGCAACCGTATAGCTGCAATTTTCTCAATTTTTGCGTGCCCACAAATTTCTGGGTGGAAGGGTCAAACTTCATCCCGAGGGGACCCAATAAAGAGAAAAGTTTGCCGGAAATGTAAATCAATTTGTAAAATAGTTTCGTATACATGGTAAGTAAATATGTGAATAAAAAATTCAAGCTTATGAGAAAATGTTCTGCCTTAGGGGGAATATTGGTGCGGACTGTGGCGAAGTTTAAAAAAAAAGTAGCTGGGTAAAGCTTTGGAAGGTAATATTCATGATAATTTGTAGTAATTTGTGATTCCCGTTATTATTGGCCTCGTACCATATTTACATTCCTAAAAACAATGTTACCCTTTCAAAAATAAATGCGGCCTAAATTTGGTATTGTGCAAATTATACCAAAGTCAGAGTAAATTTCACTCTTTATCAACTTAATGTTAGTCTGGATTGAATTTACGCAAATATTTAGTTCGCTTAATACAGAATCTAAGACTGCATTTACTGATCAAAAGGGTAACACTATTTTTAAAAGTCTGCATACAAAAATACCTATGTATAATCTCCATAAGTAGTAATTGTAAGATTAAAAAGGTAAAAACGAAACCATTTACTGGCAGGTATATAATTTGCTGAAATTGATTATGGACATGGTCATGATACATAGATATTCATGTATGTAGGATCAATAAGTATTATGGTGTCAAACTTCATATGTATAGGTAGATATGAGGTATGGTATGTCAGTGTGTTTTGCATCCTTATTTTCCCCCTTCTCGCCTTCAAAATACTTATGACGGGATTAATAATTAAATATTTTGTTGATGTGCAAGAAATGATATGCCATTCATTATCTTTTTTCATAAAAAAGTGGAGATTATTGACGAGTTTGAAATTGAGATGTAGGTAGGTAAATTTATTAGTGCTCGACTGATGTGGCCACGGCGTTTACAATCATATACAAAAAAGTTTCATAAATTTGCTTAAATATATAGAGATATTACTATTTCGATATTGGTTTAGCCTAGTTTAAGTATTAAATATTAGCCTAATAGTACATCAGTATTATTATAGGCTTCTCTCACCTCAGTAGCTTGAGTCAAATAATGCTTAATACATTTTAATTTAGTCTCATCTAAAAATGGCCTAGAAAACTTACAAAATCGTTTCTACTTGTGGGAAGACACTGGTCAAGTTTGGTATTAAGTACTTTGCGGATTAAGTTGTAGCATGGGCAAATACATATGAAATTATATAAATCTTCAATTGCAGACTGGCATATGCTACATAGAGGGTTTGTATCTTTGTTATAGATAATATTAATTTCATTTAATATTAAAGATTTGTTTTTAATTGCAAATCTAGGGTACATTGTCCTTAATTGCATGCCCAACTTAACTAGATTCCAAGACATATTTCCATTTAAGAAACCTTCAACCTGTACGTGCAGTTTAATGTATTTAGAAATTGAGATCTAATCATGTATGGATTCTCGGATTGTGTTAAGTAAAGGCAATGATAAGGATCAATAGTATGAGAGGAGAGTGCATTTGGGAAAAGGAATTTCGTTGTTTATATTATGTAACAACTCCAGGAAGTAGAGGAAATGTGATTTGCTTGTTATAAGATATTTTTTACATTTTTAGGTTTCTCATTTTACCATGATGCATATAACAGTGGGCAGGCTTAGGAGGGGAGCTTGCGAGGTTGATAATAACAGATCTTGATGCCCTTTGGATATGTGGTAGGGTCTCATGAGTGTACTATAACCCTGAAGTGGTTTGACTCCATGGCCCCATCTGCGCCCGCCACACCCACTCAAAAATGCCCAAAAAACGCTTTCACTCCAGTTTTCACTCATTCAAATCCACGCCAAAAATCCAATTTTACTCGGATTTTGAAATTTCTTTCACCATTACACTCCCAGATAGTTGCTTTCTTCAATCCAATATCAAACTCAATTTTGCTGATGACTATTTCGCAGGCATAATTTGCGTTGTTGATTACTACAACA